TGACGGAGATGTCATCTGCGGACGGCTCACTAAAGCCTAAGTCACGAGAAGTTACAATTTCAAGGATCTGATTGGTCTACACAAAGTGGACGTCAAGGATGATGGAACTGACGACCATAACGACGAATAAACGGAACAATGGGATTGGTCAAGTCAAAATACCTTTGGAAAGGACTTCATGTATGTAGAATTTGTTGGCCAGCCCTGGCGCTGAGGGGGGTGTGTTGGTGCCTGACCCATACGGCATTCAGGCAGCTGCCAGGTCTGACCAATCAGCTGTCAGTTACCACGTGACCGCCAAACCGGCCACGCAGATTTAGAGCCGACCTCAACGCCGGCTCCTAGTCAGTTCTTCTTTTTCTTCCCCAGAGGGAGCAATAATATATTGATCTTCTATGCCTAGATAGACTTCATCTATTTCCCCACTGAGCTCTCGGCAGCCTTACGCCGAGAGGTTATGAGCCCGGCAATAATATATTGATCTTCTATGCCTAGATAGACTTCATCTATTTCCCCACTGAGCTCTCGGCAGCCTTACGCCGAGAGCAGTTAGGTAATATATAGGGCCCCTGAGAGTGACATTAACACCCACCTGTATATAGACTCTAGCTACTAAGCCCTACTGCCCAGGTAGTAGGCAGAGCGTGCATAGTCTCAGACTGAAAAACGCTCTCTAAAATGGAATGATAATAATAATAATAACTACAATATCATCCTTTTTACCAATTTGCGACCATAAATATGATTACACCACGTTTAGCGACTCAATTCTGCGATACCTGAAACCTACTATGCGCGATTGATCATTGGCCTATCATTCCATTCTTCACCCATCTTCGTTATTCTTTTTTTTCTGACTGATTAGATATTATTCTCTCAAAATGATCCGCCTTATTAGTCTCTGGCGAATTCTATTCCTTTTTTTCAACGCCAAAGACAGTGTTTTCATCAAAAACAAGCCTTTAACGACTCGCTCCGCTCGTCTAGGCTTGAAGGGGAAGACTACTTACGCTTACTAATGCCTATAACTAATTGCTCCGGACCTTCGGCCCTCCGCATACTTGTAATGTAAGCCTATATATAAAGCTTATAGGGTGCCAGTGTAAATAAAGCCTATAGGGGTACTAGCGCAAAGCCTTTTAGGGGTATCAGTATGAATCCTCTAGGAGTGCCAGTGTAAAGCCTGTAGGGGTGCCAATATAAAGCCTATAGGGGCACTGTGAAGCCTACACCTATGGTAGGCAGCTAGGAAGGCAGTTTTGTTGTGGTATGCTTACATAAGAAATTTGGACGGGTGCTGACTAAGCGGAACTGACCAATCATAATGCGTGTCTGTTCATTTTGTACAGAAAAAACTGTTATTTCCTTTATAATAGGGGGGATAAAGCAATATTGATTCTGCCTGTGTTTCGATGTATGCGGAAAAGCATGAGTAGCAGGAAATATTGACATGCAGATTGGTATTCGAAGATTACAGATTACTCGAATCTCTCCGGAGGACATCTATCTATCTATCTCGGCCAGTTTGCCGACCTGATCAACGGACAAGTACCCTGTGCACGCCTTATTTCTGGCAGGAAACGGTGGATACACCATTATATTGGCATCCTTGCATTCTGACATGCCTTAACTTTGTTATCTCTGCCATAGTATAACAGTATAGCCGTATGTATGTACATGTGCATTCCACACTCACAGTGAGAAGGATTGTATCATGTCACTTATTTATACTATACCAACCTCTTTGAAAAAGAAATTCGGCAGGACTACACTACAGTACACAGACGAGCAGTCCACAGACAATTTTATAGCAATATTACAGCAATATTATTTATGGTAAACAGCAGGCAAACAAGGTAGAAATCAGTGTGGGGATTGTTATCAGCTGTCGCGTTCAATAATAATAATAATAATAGATAGACTAGAGAATTGTCTGCATTTCCAGATCTATGAACAAAGTGAGTTCGTTCTATTATGTAGGAGAAAAACATTGAGTATAAACACACCGTTCCAACTTTTCTGCGGGCAAAAAAAAAAGAACCTAAGCCTGCCTACAACACTGTAGAGATGTATATACAGTAGATAGACAATTCTATTTACCTACCTAGGTCAGGTAGGTAGGCAATACAATCTAGTTACACCTTACCCTTTTGAGAGAGAGATTCGAAATCTCCTCTCTTACGAGCAATTTATTATCACTTTATTTCAGAGGAATGGACTGTATGTACTGTATGTATGTATGTAGAGCAAGCAGGATCGCAATCCTCCTCAAGTCCTGCTGAATTACTTCCTCAAAAAAGATCTTCTCATACGCCTCAATCAGCCACAGTACCGCCAACTTGGAGCCAGCCAAGATCGTCATTGCCCTTGGCATTGGCCCCTCGCCCTAGCCCTCTCCCCTCTCATTGCAGATCGATTGATGATCACCGAAGCTTTCCCCGCATATGTACTGTATATGTATGGGGACCGAAGGAGCCATAGCTCACAGACTACGGAGTAGACTAGACTAGATTACTGCAGGTCCATCGTCCGTGGCCCCCAGGCCCAGGCTTCCAGCGGAATTAATTCATTGATTTGAAGACGGCGTCGAATTCGATGCCTGATGAGCAGCCTGACCAGGTGATGTAGGTATGTATGCACAGTACATGTATTAGGAAATGACTAACTAATGTCGAGCTAGCTATGTTTATGATGTATCTAGGATTATAATCCTTCCTGTTTTTATTTTTTTTTGTCATGAATCCTATAATATTCGAATACACATACCGTAAATACATAGATCGACAGATAGAAATTGAGTATAGAAGTATATACATACATCAGCGCGTGCAGTTAATTGATTAATTGATAGATTGATATTATCATTGCAACAAATAAATCACAGCTAATTAACAATTAACAATTACTACATGTATGTACGTACATACAGTACGGAGTACTCCGTACTTTCCTTCCTTTCTTTATTTCTGTCCAGGCCAGGCCAGGCCAGGCCAAGCCAAGAAATTCCTTCCTTATTCCTTCGGCCAACTACACCCCTTGTCATCTATCTATCAGTGTCAGATTGGATCCAATCTAATCCGTTTGTTTTCAGTCAGTCAGTCAGTCAGTCACAAAATCCCTCACCCTCATCCATCTCTGACGACATGATCGACAGGTCAGGTCAGGTCAAGTCCTTGAATGAATGATGGAGGTCCTCAGGATCATTCTGGCCTGAATGGATGGATGAATCCGATGGATGAAGCATTAGGAGCATTATTATTGCTGCCAGCTACCAGCTAATACCTCGACTCACTCAGTCACCGCAGAGCCAGACAAGACAAGCTTGGTCGTCGCCCCGATCTGATAATCTATTTATTCTCCACCGCGTCGGTCCGTCTGTCTGTCAGGCAACAGGCTCCGCAAAGCTGGGGGCGGGGGACGGATGGTCCTCACGGTGCAGAATGCAGATATCTTGGCTGGCAATGGCTGCTTGGTACTTTTTTTTTTCTCGAAGGGATGGATGGATGCTATAGATTGATGCGAATGGCAGATAATAGATATATTTATTTGATCCTAGTTTTTTTTTTTTTGCTAGACTCTTTCTTAAGAGCCAGCCATGTTTGTACAGTACCTGGATGACAGACAGACGTATGCACTGCAACTAGGGAGGAACGGAATACTCCGTACATACAGTACAGTAATCGACAAAATCCACGAAAGTGATCGATCATCAACAAGTCACGAGCACAATGCATAATAATGCAGAACTGCTAATTTAATTTAATAAAATAATAATAGTTAGGTACCTAGTTACTAATAACGGCCGGAAAACAAACCTACCTATCTTAGGCACTTAGGCTTTAGCACGGAAGGGGGCCAGGCTAGTCGCCAGCGATCAGCATACCCCGTACTCCGTACTTCATAAGGAGCTGATGATATGCGCGCCAAGTCTAAGTCTGTCTAACGTGCTGCTGATTCCAAAATTAAGTACGGAGTAAAAAAAAAACGAAGAAGATTGGCGGCCACAATCATCAATGGCGTCAGCGTGCATATTATATTATTCAGGAATATTGTTCCCAGAGCTCGTTCTCGGTCGGCAGCAGAGGACGGTATCTATTCTATTCTAAGTATCATACCTCCCTCCATCACAGCTCCAGAGAGGGAGATCACGACAACAACTATGTATACTCCGTATCATAATCAATCGATTAATTAACTATTAGTACCTCACCTACCGGTACACATAGTTAACTTCAGGTACCTCATGTACAGTACAGTACAGTACGTGCCCCCTACCAGGTACCTACGGATCCATCCAGAAAAGGAATCCCGAAGGAATCCCGAAACTGAAAGAATGGAATTGCAAAAAAAATACATATTTCCTATCTAGGCAGGTAGGTACCTAGTTCATTCAATCCGCCGGTGGAGGTCGCAGCCACACCAAGCCACCCGCCAACCTTATCGAGACGTCCAGTAAGATGCGTTTGTTTGGCCCCCACTATTACACTCCGTTTACGGTGTACAGATCGGAGGTACGTGTGTACCTGAAATCCATTTCTACGATTAAATCTAATCAATCCTTCCGGGTCATACGAGCAGAAAAAAACCCGCAATGAAAATGACTCAACTGGTTCACAGTTCACTTGCTTCGGCTAAAGTACAGGATATGTGCCAAACACTCAACTCGAATCAACCAAGCAGGTCTGCAAGGTACCTTTCCTTACCTAGGTACCTAGATAGTAGATTATATGTACATGCAGAATAAAGAACGAGAATACCACAGCACAAACAGGCAGGACCAATCAAGTGATGGTATTAATGAAATCGGGGAAATATAATGGCTCACTCATCCATGAGATCGGTCTTCGGACCGAAACGAGAAATTCACTCAGACGGGAATATTCTAGACTTGCTCTTCTCTGCTCTTCTCTCCTGATTAAACAATATGTAGGTAGCACAGTGCTTATAATGCGAAACACATCACACGACCATTGCGACCCGCTTTCGCCCTAGGACGAATACCCGATTCATCTTCGTCTCGATTAGTGGGATTCGCCTGCACAAATCTCGACCCGTCTTGATCGAATGATAAAAAGAAAAAAAAGTAGCACACTCCAATGTGGTGAAACAATGGAGTCTGTAGTCTGTCTCGAAAACAGTTGCAATGACTTCATCGAGGATAGCACGCTCGCTGCGGCTATGGCCTGCGATAGTCGACGACCTGCGAGTTGCGACGGATATCGACCGACATAACATCTGCAGATGGCATCCGAACAGAAACAAACCAGTAATGTGAGCCGAACCAACCAAATCCCTGGTCTAGCAAGGGACTAGCGATGCGAACCGTAATAAAGTGTCATGCCGAAACACTTTCCCGGGTAAACCAAGGTAACCTTCTATCATCGTAAAAAACGAAAAGAAAAGGGGGGGGAAAAAAAAGATCAAACCATCACCAGATTCGATCCCCGATTTGGCCTATGTGCCATGTACCTGCCAATCCTCATAAAACAATCCAGGCGGGGGGTATCAATCTCCATGGTCGGGCACAGCCCGAACCAGCCGCAATGAAATAAGAAAACTGTTGTACACGGTCGATTAAAAAAAATAAGTAAGACCATCTGCACGCAGGATATCATGATGCATACGACTCAACCAGGACAAGACGCCGGAAACAAAACACCGTGGGAGAGGAACCAAATCGCTAATTCGACCAGCGGACGCAACGCCAAGTAGTGAGAAAATGGAGATGCAGGACGATCGACGGCCTGATCCGGGACGAATAAAATTTCCTTTATTCTTCCTCTTCACCGGATCCATTATTCTCTTTCTCGCCCTTGTGGACTTTCTTGTGTCGACGGAGGTTGGAAACCACGGAGAAATGCCGGCCACAACCTTCGACATCACATGCAAAGGCTATTTGTTTGTCAGCCCTGCACTAGGAAGCTGAATTCTGGAGGCGGGGGAAAAAAAAGCTTACGTTTCTCGCCAGTATGGCTGTACATGTGTGTCTGCAAGGACGACGGACGCGTAAAACGTTTGTCGCACACCTTGCATTTATGCTTTTTCTGCGTGTTAGATGGCATCTTCGAGCTGAACTGGCTCATCATCGACTGGGGTCCGGGTGGAGCGCTTCCAGCCATGAGACCAGTGGGTCGTGGCAAGGTTCGCGATGGCAGCTGGTCGAAAGATTCCGAGGTCGTGGAGCTGTAGTCGGTAACAGACGAGTCGACAGATGCGACAGACGCGCTGTAGTAAGGGTAATTGCCCGCAGAGGAGATGGACGAAATCGACGAGTGGGTGGAAGGAAAACCGTAAGACTCGGCCGAACTCCTCGCGGTACGCGGCGCATAGATATTTCGAGGCGTCAGATCCTGGCTCAAAGCAACCATTCCGCGACTGGCGTCAATGGCGTCCCCATATGTGGCCGTCTGCTGGGTCGAGGGTTGAGTGACACGAGGTTCGCTCCTATGAAACCAAGGTCAGCACCGAAGATCGAAAGTTAATGCCGGCAACTTTTTCATTCTTGAAAACCTCTCTGGAGGAGGCACGTACGGGTGAGCTAGCCTTGTTCTATCCTGATGTGATTGCTGATGATGAAGAGACTGCGTGTAGTTCATGGACGGGTAGTTGGCGGGGGTGAACGCGGTGATAGGGGCTGCGGTCGTGTACGACGGCGTTGGCTGCTGCTCAAACGTCGATCGAGGCATTTCGTGCTGCATGTTCAACATCTCCGATCCTCCATAACCGGCCGTCGAGTAGTTGTTCCCGGTCACCAGCGAGGGCGCAGAAACGGGGATGCTGGAGTACGGCAGAGAGATGGCGGCGGGCCGGGTCACGTCGTCGTGCTTGACGGGGTTCAACCCCAACTGATTGCTGCCCATGGACGTGGTCGAGTAGACCGGAGGGTTCGAGTGGGAGGAGGTATGCGCCCATGGATCGGTGAACTGCGGCGAGTGGTTCTGGTGGTGCATGTTGCTCTGGTAGACGTGATCGAAGCCCATACCGCCGTATTGGCGGTTCTGATTCTCAATGACCATCGTCATGGAGAAGAATAATAATAATGCGCGTTGTCACTGCCGTTGTCGACGCACCGGGAGGAGGGGGAGAGAGGGGGGGGGGGGGGGGTTTTGGTTGTTGTCGTCCGCGAGCGCAAGCTCCTCCTGCGAAACGACGCAGTGCTCTCGAATTGAATAGCCACCCAAAAAGCAGGTGAGCAGATAGCGAGGGAGAGACGCGTTTCCGCAGTGGGGGAGAGTCACAGACACTCGAGACGATGATCAACCGATGCGCCAGGGCAGGCAGGGTTGATTGACAAGAGGCAAGGTTAACGGGACAGAGCGTACTCGGTCCCCTTCGAGCGCTTGGGTCTTTATCGGACTGCTGTTGCCGTCCCGGGGAGGTGACTGCACCATGCAGAAGAAGAAGAGAAATTAGGCTGGGTCTGGGGAAGGGGATCGGCGTAGCTTAAGAAAAAGAAGAAACATGAATTCCAGGCGGTTTCTATGTCGAAGACGCCGCGCAGCAGGCACGGCAGTCATCAACAGCAGCGGATTAGAGATGTGTGGGCCTGTGCCACTGACGACGTTCCGTCGGGGGAGGCTGCAGATCGTTACTTGGCCCGCTTAGTTTAGACGCCCAAACGGCGCCGGCGCAGACGTCGGAGAGCTAACGAGGTGGAGGAGGAGGATGCTTGAGAGATTGGGTGGGTTCGCCTACGACTTGGGCGCTCGTTTAGCCGGGCCTGCTGGTCCCCAAAAAGGGTCTCGCGTCCCAAAGCCAGCAGTAGCGGCTGCCACGGTGCGCTGCCTTCTCCATCACGACGGTATCCGGTGTTGCTACGAACGGAAGTCAGTTCTTTGTTGTGTGTGGTTTGCAAGAATCACATTATTATTATTATTATTATTATTTTGCAAAGGGGAAATAAAGAAGACAGCAAAACAGCAATAATGGCAATGCACCAGAATTCCCCTGACGACAATTCCATTCAATTCCCACGACCACACCCGCGCTCCCCTCTGCAGTGGACAGGTAGGAATTTGAAGCTTTGCGGCTGTGCAGCACTGCGCGTCGGGCGGTCTGCCAGACACGGACCACTCGATACAGTGAGGGCAGTGAGGGCATTACCCCAAAAAAGGGGGTGAGGGGAGGGTGGATGCCAGATGGAGAAGCGCGAAGAGGGAGAAAAAAAAGAGAGGGTTATTGGGAACAAGGGGGTCGGTCAGCGGGAATGGTTGGGTCACTTGGGTAGCCATGAATTTGCCATCCGCATGGGCGCATGGAGAGGGCTGCCAGCCTGCCAGCCTGCTCCTAGGGACTCCGGACTCGGGCGTGCTCTGCCGTCCCTTGGCGGGGGATCCCGGTTGGCAGAGGGCGGGAACGACTGCAGAACCCAAGGGAGGGCGCCATACCCGGAAGATGGGATCGCACGAGCTGGCCTGTTTCAGGGCAGCGGGGAACGCGGGCGATCCAAGGACGAAAGCCAGCAGGCCAGCAGGGTGGCCGTTGCGTGGGGAATCGAGGCGTGAGTCGTGACTGGCGGCGCCGATAAGCAGGCCCGAGTGGCCGGCAGCGGCCCACCCTCGCCCTGGGCCATTGGGCCAACGGGAGCTGCTCTTGGCTAGTGGGGCGCCGGCATTTAGCGAGCATTCCGTTCGTGCCTGCCTGCTGGGGGGCACGCAGAAACAGGAAAGCGCCAGCATGGAACGCCCGATCAGGCAGGAGCCGCTGTGGGTGCATTCCTCTAGTTCGTCAATAGTTGCCGTCCGCAAATTACAGTGAGGCTCGAGAAATCCTCCTTGTCGCTGATTCGCCCGCGCCCAGCCAGCGTCCAGCGTGCAGGTCACCTGCTCTAGTGCGGAATCCGGGGAGGATGCGGCCCTCGTAAGGCAGATGGCGCCGCCACGCTGCTCGGCGCTCCTGCAGCGTCCTGATGATGCTCGTACGGCGTCCATGGCGAACGGCGATAGATCGTGAATCGCATTGCTTTATATTCTTGAATGCGTGTTACGATGATACGCCCTCCCGAAGCCCTCAACTCCTGCTTGCCACGCCGTCGATAAGGCGCCTCAGTGGGTAGGACTGGGCTACGCAGTAGTAGTAGAAATCAAGTTTGGCACCATAGACCCGATCGTATTCCATCTAGTATAAGGACAGGGCGTGGGGGGAAGCAAGGTTTTGCGGACTCAGCTGCGGATGGCAATATTGTTGTCCTGGAGAGACCAGCTCGATGCGAGAATGCCAGGACGGGCTATCGAGCCTATGGCGGATGTTGGCCCAGCGTCCATGACACAGGTATGAGCCATGACGCGATAGTGCTGACTAGGAGCAGATACACAGCGAAAAAAAGGAGCGCACATTTGCGCGGCCAACATCGAGCACCGAGTACACACTGCATTGGAGACCACCCTTGCGGATGGGGCAGGAATGCAAGGATGCGGCCGAATATGACGGGATCTCGTGCAGGCGCAATCCAACCCTATCATCCACGGGAGGAGTGCAACCTCCCACAACCTCCACTCCTCTGCCGACTCCCCCTTCCTTCGACTCTTCGGACCAGCTTACTACTCTGCGCATAGTCATCCCTTCATCCAAACCCAGTGGCCAACATTCTCAATCTCTCAAGCCAAAAAAAAATAAATTTTCGCACGAATTCCTCAAAGACGGGCGTAGCTGCGGGCCCACCGCACGGTTGACAGGCAGTGACAGGATGCCAGGACGCTTATACCTGCACACCGACGTCAGATCCTCCAGGTGAACGCCAAATGGGCGCCCCCTTCCCTGCCAAGGCTAGCCACCGAAAAAGCCCTGTGGAGGGGTCCATGGAGTGTGGCGCCAGGGCTTAACTACTTAGGTACGAGCACGGAGTACATCATACCTAACTTACCGAAAGGCTAAGGTACTTTAAGCACTCCATAGTCAGAATGACTCCGCACCAGCTGTCGACCCTATTGATGACAATTCAGATGCAGCCTGCACGTCCGACGAACAAATAGCTCCCTCCGTCCTCAACTCCCAGGTAACTGCCGCTATGGAGCAGCTACCCCGAGGTCCCTCGTGACATGCTCATAGAGATGCCAGTTGCTGCTCAGATAGGGGCCAAAAATTGGAGCATTCCCTGTCAACTCGCCTGTCATTCATCTGTTGAATCATCACGGACCATGATCTCCCGCCGCCATGCAGTCGAGTGCATGCTCCACCGCGCTACACACTTTGGAGTGGGAAGGCGTGCAGACTAGTCCGGACGCACAGTCCAAGCTAATTTTTCACCCTTTACGGAGTACTCCGTTGACCTCGAATCCAATGCCATCAAGAACCCTTGCAGTCATCAGTTCGTCTTCTGGACAGAGAAAGAGCGTATGATCTAACTAATGTTTCTTGACAGGAAAGGCACAGTGGAAGCAAGGGTGGTGCTACACTATCAGTTTCAACCACTGGCAAACAAAGAAACCAGATGAGAGCATGAAGCGACTAGGGCCAATAATACTGCCCGAGAAAGGATCGAGGCGGTTTCGCAGGCGTCTTAGAGTGGTTAATATTTTTTGCGCCATCTTCATTATTCGTCCAAGTCGTCGACCTCGGATCGAGTCACTAACTTATAGTCATCTCGGGCAATTGGATCTAAGGTCGTGCGGACACATGGCCATCTGCTTAGCATCCAAGATCGGCCTGGCTGCTTGGCATGACCTAAAAAGCTGATCCTGATATCGGATTTACGTGCGCCATGCCATAACCAGGACTAGTCAGTTCGGGCAGTGAGAATACTCCGGAGTAAGCTAAACAGAAATAAATCCCTGTCCAAGAAGCTGGACCTGGCCCCATACATAGCAATAACAAAGGAAACGAAGAACAAAAGCAAATTGATAATCAACAGGAACAGAGACTGGCGACGATGGAATTGAGGAAGAAAACAACCGTCTATCGTCTCAAGCATTGATACGGGAACCACGTCTCACCAACAGCAGTATTTCATTATTTACCTACCTTCGCATTTTTTTTAACGAGTGTCACCTTGACTCGTGCTAATGATTAGATAAACGCAAGCTCCTTTTCTACAGATGCTGGATCCCACGACCTGCCACAGGCTTCACGTCTCACCAACCACGATGCCTATATATGTATGTACTGTACACTCGGCTCCGCCGGGTTTCCTAGTCATGGGTATTTGACCATTCGTCCACCAAAATGATCGGAGTCGGACCATTTTCTCCATTGCGCCAGAAAGCAGTAAAGAACTAACCAACAAGGTTGTTCCCTGTCAGTAACTCCTCGGAGCTCAAAGACGCTACTGCTCCGTACAGTCGGTTGGAAAACCCCAGTCAGAGCTTTCCATGATTGGATGGTATTGTCAGCCGTCACCTGTGTCCTGCAGCCACTGATGGTTGTCACTGGTTGTCACTATAAAATGTGAGCCTTGTGTCTGCGATGCTAAACGGCATTATACGATGAAAATACAGATTTGAGAAAAAAGAACACCAAAACAAGTCGTAGGGATAATTGCTTGAACAACGCTGACAAAGTCTATGACTACACGGTCAAGCCTTTTGTCAAGATTATAGTGTGTTGGCCGAAGCGGTCCACTCTTCGGATCGCTGAGGGGAGAAGCTCCACGAGCATTTTCAGCAGGAGCGAGATCCCTGTCAACAGACCCCGATAGGGAAACAATGATCAGATGACGGTTTGGCTGGTCAGCCTGTCACATGAAGCAAAGAGTGCAAACATGCCAAATTCGGACGACTACAGTATATCTTTTGGATCTCGCAAAATTCCAAGGCAGGATCTTGTAGTGTTCTCCGCACTGGCGATGCCAACATCCAAACAGTGCGGAAAAGCATTTGGCAAAGGCTGAGTGTCAGTTTGAAGTTTCTCTGGATCAATACGCAAATGCAACCTCACAAGATATGGATTTCCAATCGACGAGAAGTAACTGAGCGAGTGATAACTTTGTGGATACGGAAAAACGAGGAACGCCCCTGGACACAATGCTCACCGCCTTCCTAGTGTGGATGCCTCTTCCCCTAAACCACGACGCGATCCACGGACCACGGCTAATTTCACAGCTCAGCCTCAACCCTTGAACGAGCTCCAGGATCTCCACCAATGCAACCCCTTTTTTTTTCGAGCGCTGGAAGTACGGAGTATCCGCAGTGAGTGCACGAAACGACAGGGGCACCAAGGTCCCATAGCTGCGACGAATGGGGGAGCCTACGAAAAGCGTGGGTTGAGACCTCCCCTACGGAGTAGATCAAGAGCGCACCTAAAAATTAACCGAAAAAAAAAGCACCAGGTGAAAGGAGAAAACGCTCTAAGTTCCCTCTATTTTCATTGGATACTGTGAACGGAATTCCCAAAAAGGAAGACCATCAGCGTCGGGCCAGCTGCTGTATCACCTACCGACCTCTTTTCGGTCCAATGGAATCCTGAGGGCGGCTATACCCTCCTGTCGGTCCGATTTCGCACATGACAAATCACTCTTAACTAACCCTCTCAGTGATAGCTTCCACCTTCCCCTCCACACGGAGTCGACAGCCTCCCAGACCGAGGTTTAATGACTTAATGGTACCTGTGATTGCGGCGTCGCTTTTCGGCAATGTGACGAGACGCAATCCTGATCGCTACGATCTCAATACTTGGGATGCGCAGCCAGACTGGCTTGATATTGGCCAAGCCCAGGATAAACAATCCCACCTGGATGGATACTCTCAATACAGCTGTGAACTCAAACATACACAACACGAATTCACCACATACTCGGAGTAAGGCCCGTACAGCAGACATGGTATCGAGTACTCGAATCTACGAGGTTACCGGACCACTAGTAACACCATTACTGCCTACTTACTTTCTCTCACCGCTCTTTCCTTTCGTGTCGTCACGCAGAGAAGACAAAGGATTGGCTGCCATGCAGTCATCGACTGCAGCAACAATGCAGACAGCGTTCCCATAATTCTCTCAAAAAGGCAGGACAGCTCTTTGTGAGTGCCCGTGCACACCTTCGCCACTTGACTAAGGCTTTGTCTCGATGTGACGGTACGGAGTACTGCGTATGAATTTCTCCAAACTCTATCATGTCCAAGCTCAGCTTTTCAGTGTCAGTGTCAGACTTGTCACACTTGCCATTCATTGAATAATAGGTTGTTTGAAAGAGTGTCCACTTCGAATGGGGCAACTGCAACAGGACAAGGAACCACCAACATTTCTCTTCGTCTGTATGGGGTATGTCCATGATGCTCTGTACAGAGGACTCCGTACAAATAAGCGCATAACTGCACGACCTTCGCGGCAGATCAACCGCATGTTAACCACCCCGTTGGAATATGATTCTCTTCCGTACACATGCTCGACTGTTATCATGGCCAAATCAGAAGCTCGCCGAGCCATCCACGCAGCATGATTGGTGAACAAACGCCGTTCTTCCAAAGTGGAGCCCGAGGGCTTGTTTTTATCCCTCTCCCCCGAGTCCCCATCCTGCCCAAGGTTGCGAATATTGAAAACTCTATCTGGACTACTCCTCAAATGGGAAGAATCACTGCGCCACCGGTTCTTACTATCCGTAAACAGTTTTTGTACGGGCCAATGAACAGCCGTCCTCTGTTCGCCGTCCCTTTTTTCTCCTTGGCAAAAACAAAAGGACAGGGCACGCTCTCATTGGGCCGACCAGACCCAGATCAGGAGCTGCAGGGATCGCACGGACGCGGTTCCTTTCAGGATTTTGTGAGAGACTAACCAAATCCATTGTTCCTTGGTTCAGGACCTGCCTACACATCTAATAATTCCCATCAAAGCCGCAGAGAGAGGAGCAGCAGATGTTATTATTGATTGATTGAATGATGACTTTGGATCTCGGAGGGAATGCCAAGCCAGGCAAGGCGCCACGTTGCTGAAAGCCCAGTTCTCCGTACGTAGGGCAGTCCGTTGCAATGGGGATGCTGACGTGGACCGCAGAGACAGCCAGCAGCTGGTAGCAACACGGGAAGTGGACGCGCCAAGGGCGGCAGCAGGCGGGATGATTGGATGCCTGGGGCATTATCCGATGCTTCTCCCGAACTTCATGAAGTGTGTCCTGTCAGGCTTGTCAGCGCGCCGGGTTAGCTTAGACCCCGCAAAGCCACTCTGCGATCCCTGTGTACGATCCTGGAACCGACATCAAGGCTACAGCGACAAGGGTGCTACGGGCTTAGGCTATGGGTTAGGGGCTCCACCCGTCCCAGCTCACGGACTATGGTCCCCTGCTCCCTCCCTGAAACACGCTGTTGCTTTTTGCTTTTCCGGGAGGCCAGTCACCTCAAAATGCACCTCACCAAGGTCCCCTTTCAAGCTTTTCGAGGCTTGGACCGGGACGGGGGGAAGCCGGATTTTCAGTGTCCACATGGTATGCAATGGCAGCAATGCTAGTGAAAAAAAAAAACCCCTCCCCCTCTGGTTTTCATTTGCAGGAACGCGACGTGATGAAGTTGCAGACTGCAGACGGAATAATAAAGAAGGTCAAAACAAGCAGTCAGCTGCATCTCAATCGAGCATCCACTTAACCTACGGAGTACTTGCGTGCCTAATGCAAGACCTACTAGTAGTACTCAATCGGTGCCAATTAGCATCACGTGCACAGGGATCAGGGAGCTTGATCCAAGCTCCAGCCCAGCAGTCTTGGCATGATGTCAGAGGCACAAGGGGATTGTCGCATAGATCGATTTGATCATGCCGCCAAAAATACGGAGTACGGAGTAGTCTACCTGAATAGACCCGATAGGGTAGACGTCCTAACGGCCTTTACGGAGTACTTGCCTGCCTGCCTGCCTGCTATGACGCAAATGATCGCCAACATGATCGCCCTCGATGACGGAAGGCTTGCGGCTTGCCCCATGTGTTTGTCCCTGGCTGTTTCAGATTGCACGTGTAACGTTGCAGACGGAGTAATACTCCGTACGCCGTCTATACTGACCATGTGCTTGCTCATGGCATGCCAGTCTAGGTAGGTAGATGTAGATCGATCGGCGGTAGTAATAAAGCGTACTGTACATGCTACAGCTAATCCTAATCCTAGTCGATACTACGATGTACGCAGTACGGAGTACTCGATGCTGTTAGTTGCTAAATTAACGGGGTTGGCAACTGTCAGTGTATGTACATACATACAGCACAGAAGGAAAAAATGAATGTAGCAGACAGACCTTGAGCTTTTCTGACGAGTATCTGGATTCTTATTGATCATAATAAATAAATGCAAGTACACTGTATGTATTATTCTTATCCTTACCTCCCCCGTTGGGGCCCCGGGCGACTGAATAGCGGCCCGACCAGTTCCCTGCCTGCTTAGCTGAGGCGTCCTGGATGGCCATCTCGAAGCAGTCATCCTTGTTGTAGGACGTTCCTCTCAAGATGGCCATGTCCCAGTTAGGGTCCAGATACTGCGCGAGCAGGGATATGTTCCAATCGATCAATCAATCGATCGATCGTTCAATCAATTACCCAGTCAATCAGTCAATTAACTAACTAACCAAGAAAGACTCGTTCTCATTATATTAGACTATCAGGCAAGACAGGACACGACAAGATACCCGTTATATAAAATAAATAATATGGAGATATGGACCTAGAAAGATCTAATCAGGGAGTTATTGGATTGGATTGGATATGATTAGATTAGATTGGATTTCTTAATTCATCACAGCTTACCTCTAACATGAGAAGAGATAAGAGGGAAGAGAGTAGGGAGAGATTGGGGTCAGTTAACCTGACAAAACTGACAATAAATATTCGAATAAATGTACTCTGGTTTGCAGAATAACTATATATACATAATACATATCCCGTACACTGAACTCTTTTTTTTCTTTGAAAGTAAAAAATTAAAAAAGTTTCCTAAATAGGAAATAAATAACTCTCCGCAAGGAGTCTCCTGTCGTACCTACATGTCGAACAGACGCGGGAAAATCCTCTCACAGACCGCGAGGAGAGAGCACAGAGTCTTGGTTTATCTCCAAACGGCACTGTATCGACCTATGCGGACCTCTACGATACTACAGCCTACGCCAACTCCCAGTCCTAGACCTGTCACCTAGTGTGTGGTTGTCCGTCTACAAAACTTGGACCTTGAAGGAAACGAAGCAGACGTCTCTCCTGCCGCCTCAGAGGGAGAAGGAGAAGAGACGGATCACGACAGCGACCGTGAACACCTCTACGACGTTCGACAAGAGCGACTTCCCAGAGCCCGTATCTACATACAACAACCGTCTACAAAACGCTTTTAAGGGACGTCAAAAACAGATTCACCACACCGAGCTCGAAAATACTGTACAATGAGAAATTCCCCTTTTTGGCACATGACGAAAGCTCCGATTTTCATGCCCTCTATGAGCAAGAAGGTCAACAACTTCAGTCAGTTCGAGTATCCTGAACCGCGTACGGTGGGATTCATTGGAGATTCCGGAGTGGGTAAGAGTATAAATCTCCGCTATTTGCCATACTGCATTTGAGAAGACTCATACCGTATGTATAGTAGGAAAGAGCGCTCTCATCAACTCTCTCCTGCCTGGTACGATCAGTACGTATCTTCCTTATTTTTTTTCGGCTATTTTCAAGCTGACGTATTGACTGAAGTTCGAAATTTGGACCAGAATCATTGGCACTCATTCACTTCACCATTGAGGTGGACTACGTGGATAAATAATAACGAGGTGAAAGAACTTCTTGAAGAGTTGCTGCGGAGCTTCCGACAATATTATACCGACGCATATCGTAAGCTCACAGCTGTTCAAGAGCAACAGCAGATTACAGAGACGGATATCCAGAAGGGCATGGGAGACACTCCAAACTCTCTGTTCCGCAACCATCCAGGCCTGACCCACGAATCTCTCTCAGATGAAGCCGATGGAGCAGAAGCGGCCATTCTGACACAGTTCGAAGAATGGGCAAAGGCTGAATTCATCCATAGACCGGGAGGGGCCGATGCACTTCGATATTCTGTCACTGCAAACGACCCTGACTTGACGAGTGTAGAGACCTTCTTGATGCGCTCACGACTGATCCCCCGGATGAGGACAGACCAGCGATACGGCCCTTCATAACGCTGATTAGGTATGTTTATTACCTTTTCACGTTTATTCTCCCGTGTGCAACTGATCTCTTACTATATGAATAGGGTCTACCTTCGCTCACTGATCCTTCGCACAGGCTTAATATTGGCAGATTTACCTGGTAAGCAGCTCTCATTACGCCTAAAAGCCTTTCCAAAAACCTAACACAAACGGTCTTCTGCTAGGTGGAAGATCAGTAAGACAGAGTCTTGGATACGGCGGGAGGATTATAGAAGAGATGAGGAATAGCGAGGACTGAGGTAGATATATCCAAGGAGCTCCGTGGAGAGGACTACTGCTGGCAGGTCTTACTCTTGCAGAAGCAATAACTAGGTATTAACTACCTAGGTATGTACAGTATATACGCAGACATCTTACGATTCGTACTTCAAAGTTAGCATCTTTTTTCTCAATTGCAAAACTAATAATTGATTACCTTTTGTCACTCCCGCTAGCATACACGACAATTTCAAGTAACGGATATAATAATTGCTCGTATAAAGACAGGAAGAAAGAATGCCAGAAGAATCGAATCCCGCAACAACGCCTATACATCCATTAAATCACGATCGCCAGCTCCGGCCGCGAGATGCCGTCCTCCTCCAGATTCGGGTAGTACGGCACCATCGCGTCGGCGCCCTGCACGTATGCATCGTTGTACAGTCGCCAGTACGGCGTCCGCACCTTGCGCGCCGGATGGAAAAGTCCTGCCCAGACGTAGTTCATCACGATACCCGTTCCTACCGCCATCCGAATAGCCTCGATGGCCTCGACGATGCGGTCGATCACGTGTGGACTCGTCTCGAAGATGTTCGGGAAGACCAGATTCAGCAGGTGGATCATGGCGTCTTCGCAGCCCAGACCCACGACGCCCAGAGCAATGTGCTTGACAACGCTAGCGGCAGTCTGGCGGTGGACCTGGTCACGGTCGATCAGCGCGTCCTCCAGAAGAGGAGTCACCGCATAGACGTAGTCCTTGGCCATCTCTCCGATATATTCGAAAAGGAAGGACATCGCCTTCAGAACACCGTTCTGGACGTTGAGCTCCGGAACGCGGTATTCGTTCATCAGAGCCGGAAGCACTGTGAACGGTGCACACGTCTCTGCCACAATACCGATCGCGACGGCCGTACACACTCGAGACTGACGCTCCTGCACACGCAGGTTGTTGAGTAACGTGGCAAGCACATCCTGCGGACCGATCGCCTTGGCAATAAAGCCAAACGTGTTGTTGGCAGCACGGCGAATACCCTTCTTGTGCGCCTTCAACATATCGAGCAGCTCGAAACAGATTCGCATCCACTCTCGAGCGTTGACTGACTCCGGTCCGCGGTCTGCAATACGTCCCACCAAGTCGATGGTGTTTTCCTGCACTTTCTCGTGGCGGTTACGCAGAATGGGAGTAAGTCGCGGAAGAAGGTCTCGAATCGGCGGCTGCATCTGGTTGATACCGACCACGGTGACAATGGACCGCAACGCACCAAGAATGGAACCAAGCACCTCGGGGTATTCCTCACCGAGATACTCGTACAGGACGACTCCCAGCTTACCCATCAGAGCGTCTTCACCACATTGCTTCATCACCATCGCAATACGAGACACCAGATCGGCCGCCTGTTGACGAACGGTCGCCGACTTGTTGTTCAATCTCCAAAGAATCGTGCTGACAATCTGAGGAAGGTACGGCTTGCACCGCGTACCAAGAGCGTTGACCACCGTACCGAAACCGTTCAGGATGACAATGTCCTCGACACTTTGCTCCTGGAAGGCGTACAGAACACCATCGATGAGACGTTCCTCCAGTCTCTCAGAAATATCCGCCGCTCCCAGTGAGGCAATCAGCTTCTCAACCGTTTCCACCGTCATCTTGCGGTAGGCTTCGCTCTCGTCTTTCAGGTTGTTGACAATCCGCTCCAGGATCTCGCTAACGCCCACCTTCTGGCCGAGATCGACAGTCGTCTCGACCACCTGACGGTAGTTCCGCTTGTCGAGCGCCATCCGCCTGACCCAGAAGCTCTTGAAGAAGTCTTGCAGGAGGTTCTCCTTCAGGTACTGAGCGGTTACTCCATTCGTTTGCGCGCACTGCGACACAACTTTCAACACGACCTTCTTCATCTCCTCATCGGGTGAAGAGAATTCTCTGAGGAGAATCTCCATGATCTGACTGGTGTAGTAGTTGGCGTACTCCTCATCCATCAGAGGAATAATGTAACCGACAGCCTTCAAGAATCCAGCAAGACCCTTTCCGCGCTGCTTTCTGGCACCAGTCCACAAAGGATTGAGGATCTCGTCAAAGCTTTCGATACCGTAAGGATTCGCGGCCTCTGCCAAAGCAGCGATGGCCAAGGCGGTGACTGTTCGGACCTTCGCCTGCTCGTCGCTGAGGTTATCGGCAATACAATCGACCAATCCCTTCAGATGAGGCAGAATAGCGCACCCCATGAGGATAGCAATCTGCTGCACAATTTTGACACCAGTATGTCTAGCTTGCCACGACTTCTTACTGCGGCACACGGCCCGGAGGAAGGGAAGAAGAGCCGGAATACCAAGTGCCGAGGCCACAACTGCAAATGCTCGAGCAGTGGTGTTCCGCACATATTCATCCACATGGTCGATATCCGGCCGCATCGTACTGATCATATGAGCAAGACCAGCCGCCTTGGCCAGATTGGAAATAATTTCACGACCTTCCACACGGGCATAGTAGTCTTGATCGATAAGAAGCGGCTCAATGACCACAAGAATTTTGTGTGTGTAGGGACGAACGAGGTCATCCAGCTTGTAGAGGATACGATCGATGACTTTAACAAGTAAGTGACGTTCCTGGTCTTCCAGAGACTTCTCCATAAGCAGCGGAAGGATCTGGTTGAACAGAGGCCCGGCTCCGAACTGCCGGGCATTGTCGGTGAGCTGGCGAAGGGCCGTCTTTCGCATAGGAGGAGTTCCGTTCTTGACTTTCAGTAGCAATCTCATGATCTTCCTCTCTTTCAGCTCCTCCACAGACAGGGTATTTTCATCCGCGCCATCTAGCAATTTTCCGAAATAAGCCATATCTTCGGGCTTGAAAAATTGTAGATCGCCCACGCCTGGAATCTCAGTTGGCAGTTGTTTACCAAGCATGCGAGCATTTTCGGGTTCCTGCATCATGAACCCGCCAATGCCGCCCGCGCTGGGCATCGGAGCTGGCGTGGTCGTCAGCTTTCTCGCCGGGTTCCTGATAGGCTCGTACCCTGGAGGTGGATCAAGAATCTTATAGCCTTCAGACGGAAGCATAAGGTCCAACTCCTCGTCCGATAAGGGGGCGTTTCGTCCTGAAATATCGGTTCCAAAAGTCGCCGGCGCCATCGGAGCTTGTGACGGATGCATCGGGGTTGCTAGACCTTGGTTGCCCACGGGCGTAGCTCCGGGGATCGTTGGTGCTGCGGGCGCTTGATCCCACCGGGACCGACGCTTGGGAGCTGGTTGTTCTTCTGGAGGAGTAGGAGCTGGGGTCTGGTCCCATCTGGATCGCTTAGGTTTTGCCTGAGTGGCCTCATTCTCCTCTTTGGCTTCCGTAGGCTCTGAGGACACATCCCATCGTTGCTTTCTCTTGCGTCCAGTGGAAGCGGAAGCAGTTGAATCGGCATCGAGCTTCTCTTTATCGCTTTCTTCAGCCTTCAGGGTGGCCTGATGCTCAGGGACGCCATTCTCGCCGCGAGCTTGTTTCTCCGCGATGATTTTCTTGACGCGCTCTTCTTCCTTCTCGAGCTCACGAAGAGCCATCACGTCTCGATAGGTTTGGCCATCGGTTTCGGCGTTCGCATCCTTGTTGGCCGCAAAAGGATCAGCTCTGGTGGGAGAAAGAGCGCGGTTGAATCGACGCTTCTGGTAATCAGTCTCACGATCGGCAATCCTGGCAGATTTCTCACGACCGAGAAGAATATCCTCTTCCTCAACACCATTACCATGAGCCATTTCGTTCACCTGCTCCTTGGTGGCGGTGTACTGTCCCACCAGACGGTGTCCGCCATCGGCATCCTCCATGTCCTCATCCTCGCCGTCCACGGGGATCGAGGTGTTGTAACCTGCATACTTGTCCGCGCCATCGCGATCATAAAGCTCCGTGTCGAAGGTTTCAGTCAGGGGAGCCTTGGTCGAAAAGTCAGTTCGCTGACTGGACGGATCAAAGGTCTTTGAACCTTTTTTCGCTTCTGCCGCAGCATTCCTCTCGGCTTGCAGCCGTCTCACCTGCTCAAACTCCGCTACATAGGAGGTCAGCGCGTGAGAGAAACAAAAATGAAGAGGGGAAGAAAAGACCTACCGTCAGACATGTTGGCGACGACAGATGCAGGACAAGCTGATGAGCATCAAATCACGGGATATCAGTCGCAGAGACTACATTCACATTGACAATGCCGCCGATGGCGATGCAACGACGGATGGAATGCCAGCCTGTCGATGACGGTGCAGAGATGAGCGCGAAGAGAAGTCGTTGCGGAGGCGGCAAATTGAAGTTTCACATGACATAAGCAGGCTGTGAAACACCACGTGACTGGATTACTAATCCACTTCAATTGACCAATCAGAATTGACCAATATCCGATGTCACCTCACATCTCACGCCTTGTTGAGATGGAAATACACAGAAGAGATTTCTGTGTTGATAGACTGTCAAACTGCACCTGATTGCTGTTTTGCTAATTCTAGGTTATTATGCCTTACTGTTGGGGCTGTGCCAGTTAATACATGAGGTACGATACACCAGGCCAGCCCTTTGTTACCTTCACAAAAGCATAACACATCAACTACTTTGGCTGAATCTATTTTTTAACTGCAGTGTATCTAGAAGCCACTGAACACCTGCATTGTTGAAGTTTCCGTCCAAGAACCTTCCATGCGTCTAAGCCGCTTGATAAGCGCGCAGGGGGGTCCTTGTGCATTATATCTAGTCCATCAGCCTCGGAGGATCCAATGAACGGCCTCTATGATGTTAAACTTGTTATTTTTGGCTGACCTGGCGCCAGGCCGTATACGATCCATCCTCTTGTATCTCGCGAGGCAAACCAACATTGTTGACCCCATCTTGACCTCATTGCGCCTCATGTTAGGCCGCAGGGTCTTCCAATTCTGTTGTCTTGAGTGGCCGAAAATGATCTTTGCTTCCAATTAGTATGGCTAGGGCAGCATATTCGGAAATTTATCAACTGCCGGTGGCGCAAACGATTCGTTCCCAAACCTCTACGAGTCAGATCTCTAACAACTTTAAGCCTTCTAGAGCCTGGAGCTATCTTTCTTCTCCTCTGGTCTGACGAACGCAGCCGTATGCGGTAACTTCGCTGTGTTGGCAGTGCGCTTAGCCCCCAACAGCGACCTTGCGTCCATCTAGAGAATGGGCCGCGCTGCGGACATATTTCACATTTATCCAATGCCTTCCTGACTTATCAAAATAACCGACTCGGATATTAGTTTTTCTTCCAGTGTGCCTTGCAAGGCACGATGGTGGACCGTCAGAGACCAAAAGTGCACTCTTCTATCCCCATCGTCAATTTAAATATCGCCTGGAATTCCTGTTGAATCTGCCATACTCGTCAAAAGTTAGTTACAAGATACAATTGACAGTTTATTCCATCTTAGCGAAAATGTTTCTCAAATTGATCCTTGCTATCATCTTTCACCTCGGCCTTCAGACGGCCAACGCAGCCTCAGTTGACTCAAATGTCCTCGATACAACGTTGACACTCGTCTCTAGCATCCGTCATGCCGGCGACTTTGCAATCACTCAATGCCCTCTGAACTGTTCTTCCTCTCCGCCGCTGGGAAAGTCCTATCCCTCGCACCTTGCAGCCCCTAGTCCAGGCCTGTCACTCAAATACGTTGCCCTCGGCCGTGGCACGCAAAACTACACCTGTCAGAACAACGACTCGGCGACCGTTCCAACTGCAGACGGTGCTGTTGCCACCCTGTTCGACGCCTCGTGCCTTGCAGCCGGTTATGAATCCCTTCTGGGAGATCTTCCAGCTGCTCTGGTGCACATCCCCCATGACGCAGCCGTGCTGGCAGCGTTGACGCTGGGACAACTCTCCGCGTCCAGAAACGGCAGCGTGGTCATTGCACAGCACTATTTCCGCGACTCGACGACTCCGTTCTTCGACTTCCGGCCCTTTGGACACCCGGAGTGGCTCGCGGCCAAAAGTGAGGAGAGCGTGCCGGCTCCCGCAAATATCCCCATTCCCGGATCTGTTGCTTGGCTGAAGCTTGGATACAAAGACGGAGTTGGAATTAAGGTACGCTACCTCCTATGCAATGTCTGAGTGAGAAAAAAAAGTGTCTTGTTGCTGACCGCATCTGCAATAGGAAGTCTATCGTGTTGTCACTGCCGGCGGAGATCCCCCGAGTACCTGCAAAGATCAACCGCCGGCTATCGAGGTCGATTATGCTGCTGAATACTGGTTCTATGGATGAGAAAATGTTGCAGTAAAAATTATCATTTATTGTGATTATCTCATGCCCTTCTCTTGCCGTATTATATTATGTTGCGGATAATGTTAGAATAGTGTTCTGAATATAAAGAATTCTACCATGATGCTACAATTGGTTAAAATCCGTAGACGACCCTTCAAAATTGGTAGGCGTGTCTAAACCCTACGGGAAACGACAATCTTGTCCACCCCAACACGCTCCGCTTCCTTATCCAACGCCTGGATCTCCGCCTCCACATAGGGGATGCCCGTCTTGAGCCTCTCCTCCCGGGTCAACTCCTCGATTTCTCCCGGGTAGTAGATGCGATCGACGCCGGCCATCTTATCGGACCCGACGACGCGGCGGTAAAGATAGTCCATGCGCTCCTTGAACTCGTCCAGACTCATGAACAAGTCCGGCTTCAGCGCGACCAGGAAGTGGCCGACGTCCGCCGGCTTGGACGGGTCGTAAGGGTTCGTGACGTGCCCTGCAAATGCGGACCCGGACAGAACTCCGGAGAAAACGTCCATCATGATGGCTAAAGCGGACCCCTTGGGCCCGCCCATCGGGAGCATGACGCCTTCGAGCGCTTTGTTGGGGTCGTCCGTCTGCTTGCCCTCCGCGTCGAGAGCCCAATCTAGGGGGATCTTCTCCCCCCGGCGAGCAGCCTTGTAGATCTTGCCTCTGGCAGCCACAGACGGCGCCATGTCGAGGATAAACGGCTTCTCCTTCCCGGCGGGGGCACCGCAGGCCAGGGGCGACACGCCCATGAGTTTCGACCGCCCGCCCCAGACAGGCAGCGCGGGGGACGAGTTGGTGAAGACGAGACTCATCATGCCGGCGTCGAGCGCCTGCTGGACGACCCAGGCGGACATGCCGAAGTGGTTCGAGTGCTTGACAGAGACCATCCCGATGCCGTATTCCCGGGCCATCTCGATGGCGCGCGCCATGCCCATGTGCGCTGCGACGAAGCCAAAACCGTTCTTGCCGTCCACCTGCGCCACGACGGGCGTCACTTGGGTCAGCGTGGGCGTGGCCTTCGCGTCCAGGACTCCCTGGCGGATCCGCTCCATATAGGACGGGATCCGGTTGATGCCGTGGGAGTCGACGCCCCTCAGGTCGGCCTGCACGAGACAGTCGGCGACGATAGCTGCATGGTCGGGCTGTACGCCATTGCCGCGCAGCACAGCCTGCACGAATGTTTTGGCGTCGTCTGCATTGACATATAGCTTTTCTTTTGGTGGTTCCATATCTTGGCGCTGTGAGGTAGTCTGTCTTGGTTTGATGGGTGTAATTTCAAATACAACAGAATATATACCTGATGGACAGAGACTTATTCAATTAGAATCTGGGATGATTGTCTTTATCTCTCCTGACTTACTCAACTGATTATATTGAATCTCCCGAGTATACGGACAAGATTATGTAGTTCGGGGCCCCGCTCCGAAGCTGGTTCGTCCCCGCCGAGGCCGATCGGAACATTCCCGAGCCCAAATTGCTCTTCTAGGAATTGGATCTAGTGACGTCGCAGATATACTCGAATAATAGTATTTGGTAGATGGCTGCATATTACAAAACTCAGAATTCCTTTATTTTTGAGACAGGTGTTTTTAAGGAGAATACATGTATTATCGGCTGTGGTTTTGATGCCGCCTCCTTGTCACAGATCGAGTTTGACCTCTGAGGCTTGTTCTTTGTAGTGACTGTGTATGGTAAAAAGAGAAAAAGAACTCAACTCTGGGTCAGGTTCTTTCTCCTTCAGTTCACTTAGGCAGGCAGCCACGTCGTTTATGTGATGACGGTGTGAAGAACAACACTTTTTCCTAGTTGGGAAAGTAGGTTTCCCTCTCAAGATATGAAGTAGCAACGACCTGTCCCAATCATCCCAATTTGTCATCTTCCCGTATAGTCTTTTAATGCCAGAATATATTGAATATTATGATGCTGAAGGAAGCCAGGATGAGGTGCTTTGCACAAGCTGTCCATGATCAGTATCAACTCCCATTGTCAGATATGGCTGATAAGCACAGTTTATAAACGTGCCTTTCTTCCCTGTTCAAAGACAGTAACACTGGATATGTTTAGATCACGCAGGGTTTAGGATAGGTAGTTGTCATCATTATGTACTGTACATTGTGATGGTGACATTGATCGACATACTGTGTCCTCCCTGTCACAGAGCTCGTACGACTCCCTGACTGAAAACTCCATATCTGGTAAGACTTGTCTCGGCGAGAGATTGACTCATCTGCCAGACGCAGGAGACACAGTAGTGAAGTAAATCCTGTTGTGGTGAACGTGCCAGGAGCATCAATCTTGCTGTTTCAATCTCATTTTCATCTCACGTAGACCTCATTTCATCACAGCAACCTCAGGCATACGTGTCTCACCTCTAAGTAAGTACGGTTCCTCACCGAATCCAAGCCTCTGAAAATGCCCCGGACAATGATTCTGACATGCAGAAACCCCTGGAGACGTTCTGCGACTTACCAACGTCCCATAGTGCAGCGGCCTCAGCCATCTGCCATCCAGATGGAAGACGCGTTTCATCAGCTGGCTCCCGACGGAGATGTCATCCTTGTCGTACAGGCTCCAAGTACCGCTTTTGCAGTCTGGGCAGTAAGTCAGAGTTATCCGTCGCTGCTGCCGCTGCCTGCTGTCCTAACAATGTCGATTCTTCAGGAAACCCAACCTGCGACAGAAACTGACCGACCGAAAGCGCGAATGCGAGTGTCTTCAAGCCACCTAACCTTGGCTTCTGCCTATTTCAAGGTCATGTTCAGAGGCGACTGGAAAGAGAAGCACACTCTCAGTTCTGACGGGTCTGTGTCTATCTCGATGGAGCACTGGCCTAGTGAGATGTTGATCCTGATGAACATCATCCATGGCCATACATTCAAAATCCCCCGGGCTCTCCCCCTCGAAAAGCTGGCCAAGCTCGCGGTTCTTGTCGACTACTACCAATGCTTCGAAGTGGTCGAGGTGTACTCAGAGATGTGGATTAATCATTTAAATGCGGACTTCCCAAAAGCATACTCGAGAGACCTCATTCTGTGGATATGCATTTCTGAGGTTTTCCGTCGACCAGAGCAGTATAAAGCGGCTACGAGAATCGCCATCAGGGAAAGTCATGGACCCATCCCGACTCTGGGACTGCCAATTACAACAAAAACCGTCGGTACGTTCATGTATCCCTGGGATTACATGATGCCTATTCTTGGTTGTATTAACCAATCATGTAGACAGAATCGAGGAGCAGCGGCAAAAACTTATCGATCGGACTGTGAAATCACTGCACAATTTTCTCATCTCATACTGCAAACACGTTGAGAACCCTTCTGATCATGATTTTTTAAGTCTCGGTGTTTTCACCCTGGAAATGATGCGTCTCGATCTTCTTTCCCCGAGGCCAAAAAAGCCTTTCCGGGGCCACAGTTTCGAAAGGATCGCTATTCGTCTCCATAATCTGCCGTCGCAGTTGCCCTCTATTTCGTCCTTTCCACCTGATCAACAGCATCGTCCGGATACTCTTTCTCTGTCGCACGCAATCAATGGTATGATGGACGTCAGCACGGAGGGATTGGTGCTGGAAAAGGTTTAGGTGGACGATCGTCTACAAAAGCTGGAGTCTGTCTGCATGCAGAGGGTCATGTGACTCGCGCAATCGACGAAGGAGGTCGGATTGGTGCAATTTCGAATTCTACACATTTTCCTTGTTGGTTCTCAGATCGTGGTCATCAAATGTCTCCTTAATTGAACACACACTACGCCTAGGTAGATGCCATGGTAGAGCTGTTGGACTGTGTGTCTGGTTGGTCTGACTGAAATGAATTTCATCCATACAGTGCCCTTTCAGTGCAGTTTTAGCTATTAAATTGATAATATCCACATCCGCCGTTCTATACAGTTCTTATTCTGGACTAGTTCTTTTGCTTATACCCTCAAGAGCTGCGATGAGCTCATTGAGATGGTTGAAGCCAGACATTCCTGCAAACATCCAAGTAAAGGTCCGCGTTATGCAAATGTGAAGGGTCCCGCAAAACGTGCTGTGATGCCAGCATCCTCTAGCTGTGTTCACTTGTCAAAAAGGACCTGTAGCACTGCTCAAGTCATCTACATTGAGAAGATTCGTACCCTCGACTTGCTCCAAACATGTATATCGGCAATGCCATCCAATGTCTCGTAGCGACTGTCCCGATCCCGGCAGAGCAAGAGGATGAGCGATTCCGCGAAGGAGTTGGAATCCGAACGGGATAAATAGACGATGAGAAGCGACAGGGGCCACGACCAATATCTGCCGAAGGAAGACGAGGATCGAATGCAAGCATGACGTGGCAATTCTCGGTATCTGGAGATGCCTGTTCGGATTTTGGGAGCTTCCAGAGCGTCTCTGATTTCTGATAAAGCGACACTGTAAGATCATCATGCAGGTGTAAATGTGCTGCCAGACGAGGACATCTCATATGTGGATCAGACATGGTGCAATTCGAGTCTCCTGCGCAAGTCGGAAAGCCAGCTCTGAGCAGTGCTCCATATGCCGTTGATAAGAGTGACACCCTTGTCAAGAATTGTCACAAAATTGGGTTTTCGGTCTTGTGGAACTCACCTCGACAACGGTGGGAATTCCAAAAATAGTAAGCAGATAGCTACCCGACACGAGATTCGGACCCCCGACTCATCAAGAAGATGAGCGGTTGGTGCAACAAGCGTGTTGTCAAATTTCTGGCCATCAAACTTGCATCTGGACGTCTCTGCCTAGGCAGTTACCAGTGAAGCTACCTATCTGTCTAGGTACCTAGGTAGGCCGTGTTCTGTTCTGGCAGGGGACTTCTTTATCGCCACAGTTCGATTCCTTCCATTATTCCCTCTCGACATGTGAGTCTCTCTGGGTGGCCCCTTCCCGTCTTAACAAACGAGTCTGAACTCCTTGTTCACATAAGCAATTCTCCTCTAGAGTTCACGATGGGGTTTAATATAGCGTAATTCGGAAGCACTACTATCTTCCTGCGCCAACCGACCGACTCGAGTGACCAGTCACAGCACAGCAACGGTCCTAGAACATTAATTCTAGGTAGTTATCAGATCTATGCAATATTTACAGGGATTGATGTGGTAACTACATCCTGCACACTGCCAAGTTAGGTAGTCTTGATGGTATGTCACAAGATACCCCGCAGTCCGGAGCTGAACCGGTTGCCTTTATAGAGGTTATAAAGGTTTCAATCCCTCAACAGTTCTGCTGCCGTTCGCCTGCTCCATCTACTCCATCCTGCTTGGTCCAGAAAGCCCTTTCCCCGAACGCCAAATCAAGGCCATGGCTCAAATCCCCCCACCTCAGGGTCCCCTGGAAGCAGATGTGAGAATTTGCGACCTGCGCAACAAGAGAAGGACATCATGCTGATATGTTTTGGTCAGGAGGCTATCTCTGCGGACTCTGATTCAGCATATAACGAATCGTGAGTACATTTGACCAGCTAAAGAGTAACTTGGCAGCCTCCGTCTGATGATTCACTATTTAGCATTGACACAGCTAGCTACGCGTCGTCCCTCAGTTCAAGTATCAGAAACTACAAGTAATATAATTGCTATCTTGACTAGCTTTGCCTTTCAGTCAAAAGCTTGCTAACAATACGACTCGTGACTTTGCTAATAGATACGAGGCAAGTCTCGAAGGCAGACCTGCTTGACTGGACACTGACAGGCCTTTTTATTTAGAACGGGCGCCGTTACCATGCATATCACGAAGGAGCATATATTTTGGTATATCCAATAGAAATGCTCTGTCAGGAACCATGACTGAATCAGCTCTTAGCCAAACGATGAAGAGGAACAAGATAGAATTGACCTTCTCCATCACATATACCGGCTTTGTTTATGAGGAGAGCTTCACCTTGCACCAATCAAAAATCCTCAGCGTGTTTTGGACCTTGGAACCGGTACAGGAATTTGGGCCATTGAGTTTGCTGAGTAAGAGCATTCTTCCACAAAATTTTTCCACCCTCATGTTTCTGATGTTGATATAGTCAATACCCTTCAGCGCAAGTGATCGGCACTGATCTGAGTCCTATACAACCTCCCTGGTAAGTTCTCCTACGACCCCACACATTGCCATATTACTTATATCTGAGTTTTCGTTCGTCCTTTCTTTCCTTCTCTTACTTCTCCTCCTCCCCCTTCTTCTCTATTTTGATACAAAAGCTAATGCAAATTAGGGTCCCTCCCAACTGCGTATTTGAGATTGATGATTTCGAGACTCCTTGGTTGTATAGGGCTGACTTTGACTTCATTCATGGCCGTGAGCTAGAGGGGTGTATTGCTAATGAAGACCAGCTCTTCTCCCGAGCATTTGAATATCTCAAGCCAGGGGGGTATTTTGAAATTGCTGGCGCTAATCCATACTTTTTCTCTGATAATGATACTCATAAAAGGGCTCCGAGTTGTCAGTTATTAATTGAAAACATACATATAGCTGCCAACAAATTTGGCAAGAGCTTTGACAATGTGCCTCTATGGAAGGCAAAAATGGAAAAGGCAGGGTTCCTTGATGTGAAGGAGTCTATCTACAAGGTCTGTTCTATAATGGACTAATCTCCTCTCCACGCCCTTCTTTTTCAATCAGGTATTCTAATTAGTGACAAACAGTTCCCAATTGGTCCATGGCCAAAGGATCCAAAGTTGAAGGAAATTGGAAGGTTCCAGCAGGTTCAGCAGATTCAGGTTGTTGAATCCTACACACCAGCACTCTTCTCTCGTGTCCTCGGTTGGACTAATGCTGAGATACAAGCATTGATAGCAAAGGCAAAGAAGGAACTTAAGGATCCCTCATTGCACCTATATGTCCCCATTCACTTTGTCTATGGGCGAAAGCCTTGAACGGAACTCCTTCCAGAGAAACTGTTGGATTCGGTTTTCTGTCTCTGGTCATGACTTGGACGTACTTGCGTTTGACGATCATTGGATTTGACGTTTTCCAAATCTCATTCAGATAAATTCAGATAATTGTAGCAATTTGTTTGTTGTGTGTCTAAAAACAAAAGGCAGGATAAGGACGCGAAAAGCAGTTCGCCAGCCCATTTCCGTCGATTAATGAAATAATGAACAAGGCGAAAAAAAGGGAGCCATCCCGGACTCCTTTTTTTTAAGAACGAAGAAATGAAGGATTATCTATCAGATGTAACAACCATCTCCTCAAAAATTATTATGCTGCTTAATCCGACTCGTAGAAAAGTCATGAAGATTCCAATACTACGTAGAGCGGTTGTACCCGGTGCATAATATTGTTTCTTTCTGCACCACGATTCACTTAGGACTCGTTTGCCTCGCTTGCCTGCCTACTGGCACGTCTCTACCTTACGGGATCCCGGGGTTTCAAACTACCGTCAGGTGACGGTATTTAAGGGTTTCTTATTACTTTATAGGTTTTTTAACCATCTTTTTATAAAAAACGTCTAAAAATAGTCATTCGACGGTCTTTTATTACAAAATGTTAGATTTTTATAACACTTTAGATTTTGGGAAACGTCAGCTTTAGAAAACAAAATCACATCGGATTTTGGGCCACTAAAGTATGGCTTCATAATATCTCTTAACTACAACCCTGGAAATTTAGATAGCTTAGATAGCCTAGTTAGATTAGTATATAGACATAATAGAAAAAACCTCATTTTCTTCCTAAAAAGTAGAAGCTGTAGTTTAAATCCAGCCTTTATCAAATAAATCCTTCATTGTGGAAAATTTAGTGGTTGTAAACTAGTTAATGGTCAACCTTAGTCATAGAAATTAGAAAAAGGTTATATTTTTTTTAAGACGTCTAATTTTTTTTCATACCGTTGATAGACCGTCGATCGACGGTACCTAGTTCAAAACCCCCCCGTGATCCCGTAAGGTAGTCTTCTCCTCTGACCTCTTCTCTCACCTCTTCTCTCACCTGCATCTCACCTCTCTCACTACCTCTTCTTCCTACACCTCACCAACGCAGCGAAGCAGTCCAGAAAGGTATGGACTTCATCTCTCTTATACTCCCACCTCTCTGGCTGTTTATTATACTCTGATTTGAAGCAAAAAACTGACTCCAAGATCAGTGTTACCTCGAGGTGGGCGCGTTGGCGCCGTTGGGTGGAAGCGAGATGGCAGCTCAGACCGGACTTGAGTCGAGATTGGCAGGACTTTGATCACTCACAAGATTGAATAGGCAATTTGCAGTTTCCTGGCGTCTATGTCAAAGGATCCCAGTTCCACAACAACCTTGCTGCATTGGCGGGCTATGATACTCCCGTGGGACCCATCTTGGAGAAATACTCAAAAACCCACCAGAAGAATTTTGGGATCATAGGGCCCCGGGCCAAAGCCAATTTTCCCAGGTGGAGGTGGTAAATTTTGATAGTTATTTTCTGGTTTTCTGCCTGAAAACTCTGCCACCAAAGCCATGGCCAGTGACTATCGCAAGTGTCCTATCCTACTTAACGACAGATCAAAAAGATGATGGTCCATCTCCGCCTATAAAGCGCGCGAGCAAAACAATTCTTCGAATTTCACCAAACATCGACAGCAACAACCATCCAGAGAAAATGGATGAACTTGTCAAGAAGTTTCTTCTCCAGGCAGAGATCCATTACGGAAATACAGGACTGGAATAACTTTCTTGTCATCGTTCTGGAATGAAACAATAGATTTAACCAGGGTCCCCAGTGCTATCGCGCGCTGTCGCTGTTTCTACTTGTTTGAAAGCGAGATGGGTCGTCCAAAACAGTACCCCGCTAAACGTATCCAGGAACCCACAGACAATGTTGTCGACAATTCCCAATATGATATTTTACGCCCAGGCATTATGCTCAGTTCAGGAAAGGATGAGACGGGCCTAGAAGTTCTTACATCATCTGGCGTATTAGTCAATGATAGCCTTGGCAATCAGTATATGACAGTTTGCGTCTTATGGCTTCCTGCACACTGACAGGGTCTTTCACCCTCTTTCAGGGCGCAGAGAGATCAGGAAAGTTATAATGGAAGTAACACACACCGATATTGCTATTGTCAAATTACATGAGGGTGTTCAGTTTATTAATGAGACCTTCGAGAACACGATAGTTGGAGGACCACCTGTCCGGCTACAGGAATTTGCACAAGCAAGCGAGATACACATTGGTTCAGAGCTATATATGGACAATCCTTTCACTGGTTACGCCGAAGGAACTTGCGGTCCGCATTCGATCTCTCGAATTCCTACCGATGATCCGCATAAACCAGAGCAGCTGTGGATTAGGACTCGCTGGGATTATTTGGGGCAAGGATCCAGTAAACAGCTGGAGGATGGTATATGTGGATCTGCAATCTGGAATGGCAACAACAAGGTCATCGGGTTTTTTCGTTACGCTCCCAAATCGGGGCAGTGTGTGGACTTGCGTTTCAGTGTGTCGGCGGAACATATGATGGAAAAAGGATTCTCGATTGTAGATACCAGAAACTGTTGAATTTCTATGTGGATTTCCAAAGAACCTTCCCCCCCCCCCCCCGGATCCCTGGAATTTCCCAACGGCCAGCCTATATATAATATAATAATTCTGCCATTTTTGGCAGGTTGAGGTTCCTCAACCTGGTTGTTAAACCTCTCGAATATCTCAGCCAATCAGATCGTTGGGATCCTATATACTGTAAACGGAAACTGCTGGTCATCAATCCCATCCCGTTATACGAACATATAATCTATTACAACAGGAAGTTATTGAGTCAATAAGTTAATCAAGTGTCTGTAGAATACACATGATGACCAGAAGTAGTGAAACTACGTCAGGTACGTTGTGTACTGTTGTGTTGTGTGCCCGACCGAGTGAATTCATTGTTATGCGCTGTGGCGCAGTGCATGCAGGCCTACCAGCTTCGCCACAGTTCGATTCCTTCGAATTCGAATGCACTCGCCACATCAGACACGTGTTTAGCAATACAGAGTAAGTCACTTAGGAAAAAAATTCTAGTGCTCTGAGTCATGCTACAAGTCCGCAACGTACGGAGTACGACTGTGCCACTTCGGATGGTCCGACTCGTACGTGGGTGCCTACGTCCTCTACGAAATGAGGCTGCATAGTAGCACAACCTCGTTTTCAGGTCATTGGTTTTCATACAGTCCAGCAATAATAATGATAGCAATAATTATAGCACACGTCATCCCGAGCTGATTCAAGGAGTAGCACTGTAATTTCTCCCAGGAATTATTAATTGTCCTAAGAACTTCGAATCCTGAAGCTGGATACTGTATCGAGGCGGTGCTGTGGACCCACAATGCATGACTCATCCATGGATGTGGCTTGTGGCTTGCCCCGCTAGTATGAGGTCACATGACCACTCACACTCACTGGTGCTGCTGTGTGACCAAGTGGTTTGATGGTCATGTGACCAAAAAGGCACTTCACATTCTCGCCGAAACCTGCATGCACAGAAGCTGTGAGCGGCAAGGTCAGAAAACCTGCAAAAATCTCTGAGACCTGTTGCGAGGTTTCTGGGTCACGTGTATTTCCTATTCCGGCTAGCGTTTATCCTTACCGCCTTCTTTTTACAGTAAGATATGTACACCGCCCTGCCGGCAGAATGGAAGGGTTTAATTGGCGAACTTCTCATAATTCTCACGTGACGTAGCACCCAAACATCAGGCTGGGCAGCCAGAAGCCAGCCTCACCCTCGTCGCGCTCCGGAGCGTCAACACGCCTCCAGCTGTCCTGTCGACTTCGGTTTCTTTCAACGGTGGGCTTTCTTTCCCACCACTTTCTTTCTGTACACCCTATTTTTGCTCACTCTGCTTCTTTCACACGCCATGTGCGTCTTCTCTTTGTGATTTTCCCCTACAATTTTTTTTCTCTACCCAACTGGTCCATACTAGCTTTCCGACCGCATCACGCCCTCCTTGCGCAAGCGACGGATACAGGGGTCGACTTTCGCGCTCTATCATCACCCTTCTAACGCGATTTAATATAGTCAGCAAAAGCCTTCGGTTAAGCGCTTTCGGCGTTCAACACAATGGCTACCGACTACAACAAGAAGACGATCCCTGAACTGGTCGAGATCCTCAAATCTCGCAACCTCTCTCACACGGGCAGAAAAGCCGAGCTCGTCGCACGCCTCCAGAAAGACGACGAGGAAAAGGCGAAAACGTCTTCCAACACCAAGACAGATGTGGCCGACGATGTCATTGACTGGGATGATGATGCGCCTGCCGCCGAGGAAACCGTCAAGCCATCGACGGAAGCTGGCGCGGCTGCAATCGCAGCCGGCGGCAAGGGAGAAGTGTCCAACCCAGCAGATGTTCCAAACCAGGAGCTTGCAATCGACCCTGCCGCGACCGACGACCTAAAGGTTGAGTCTAAGGGAGACGCTCCGAAGGGAGCTCCTGAGGCGGAAACTGCTACGACGGGCAAAGAAGAACAGAAAGAGAAGGCTGCAGAGAAGCCGGCGACTGATTTCAGCATTGGTCTTCCCACGACCCAGTTGGAGGAGGAACTGAAGAAGCGCAAAGCGCGGGCGGAAAAGTTTGGAATCCTCGAAGACTCCAAGAAGGCGCTGGAGGATGCTGAAAAGGCGCTCCAGCGAGCCAAGCGTTTTGGCACGGAGAATGCCAGCGCTGCCGTCAGTGTGAAGGGCTTGGACCAGGCATTGCCGGACAAGCGGCCTCGCAAGCGCGGTCGAGGCGATGATCAGGGTGGCAGGGGCGGCAAGCGCCGCAACTTTGGGAGCAACCGTGGTGGACACCCGAATGACCGGAGTCGCGGCGGTGGAAACGCGAAGCCGGTGTGGGACGAGAAGGATGCTGCTGCTCTCGAGGCTAGGAAGAAGCGATTCGGCACGGTCACTTCGTCTTAAACCTTTTATTCCTATTCTTTCGAACCTTTAGTTTCACTTCTTGTCTTCCAGGGCGTTTCGGGTGGGAACATTTGCGGAATCGTGTGTACCATTTGAGCTTGATTTCTCAATGGATGCGAAGTTTACCAGGCATCTGCTGCTAGCAGATTGAGTCAATTTACATAGCAACTTGAATTGGTAGCTCTGAAATATGTACACAGCATTGGCTAGGAACTCACCTGGCAGATCCATCAGCGACCTGCCGGAAGGCGCGCTGAGCGCGTTGCAAACATTCACCAGGGCAGAGCATTCGCTGAGGTGGTGAGAATCAGGATCTCTTGGTCCCTAGCCATCAGCCATTAAGATCTGGAATCAAGGCAGTCTAAACGGACTGTGTGGTAATATTAGTCTGGATTAGATGGGCATTAAATCTAATTAGATGCTCTGCGTCATTCAGCTTAGAAGAAAGCCAGAGCGCAGTCACCTGACAACACTCGTATCTCAGCTTGAGAATGTCTACCTGAAATCTCCAACGCTGAACTAGTCCACAGTTAATGGGCCATCAAGAACAGTGGCGTTTCCATCGTACTACTCTCTACAATAGCTGTCAGACGACCCGTACTGTTGGACTTGCAGCTTGGACCCGACACGGTGGATCAGCAGAAGCAAGCTGCTGAAAAACTCCGCGATCGACAGGTGGCAAAAACCTGGAAAAAAAATGATTAGACAGAGCTTCCAGTTCTTGGTCTATGGTTATGTGGTGTCAAAGTCTGCCTGTGCAGTGTGCACCATGTCAGCTGAAAGCTGCATAAGTGCGTGCAGTAGTCACGTTCCGCGCCACAGCACAGATTCCTGAACCGCCGTCCAGCCTCACTTAACAGCAATGGTACCTGCAGCGATCCAGTCACCGTCACTGCAGTGTGGGCACTGCTTGTCCGCCTAGCCAACGGTCGCTGCCCATGCCACCCAAAAATATTGCTGCGTGCAGGAGACGCCTGCAGGGCGAGCCTAGTTGCAGTTGATCTCCATCCCCCGCCAGCTGAGCTCGAGGCCGTCCGCTGGCGATCTGCAAGAGCTGTCTATGGAGCAGCTGTGTTGAAATCCTCGGTGGACAAGCAACAGCGGACAAGTGTCAAGCGTACATACCACTCGTACGGGCAGAGAAGGTTCAGTCAGGCAGATTGTTCTTTTTGATGACCGACTTAGTGTGCGTCTCTCGACAATTGCTGAGCCGGCTCTTATCTAGATGGTGTCCTTGGCAAATAAGATCGAATCGCAACCTCAACCATTGGTGGGGTAGTGAGACAGTTTACGGAGTACGACTTGCAGGGCGTCAATATTCCAATCACCAAAACTCGGCAAGATCCACAGTTTTCCTTTTTCTGGCTCAGTCTATATCGACAGTTCGATACCCCAAGGTCTGCCGTTGGGTCCACTGCGTCGCAAAGATTCACTCTTTTGAGCGAATCAAATCCATGAACAGCCCTGCTGCAACGTTCCTGGTGGTACTAAACCCACGCGGTCAATGTGACAAAAAAGACTTCACCAAATGCTCTGTGGCGCACACGTTCTGATCAATCAACGTGACAGGGTCCATGCCCATCCCAACCGGTATCCACTTCGCAGCGGATCAAGGGCTGCTCAATTCTGGATCCTCGTGCTGCTGGCGTGTGAAGGGAAGATAGAGTTCCCCATAGGCTCACTACTAGTATATGTCAGATATCAAGAGTCTCCGCCTGTGGGCCATCATGCGAGCACATACAACCAGTAGCATGTTTTTTTCACACGAGGCTCAGCTACCCCCTGCCATGCCTAATGCACGTCAAAATCGAATCAGAAATCCAATTGCTATTATACCAATCTGACTGGCTCGCGACAAGCGAATCGTTGAGTGGGAACGGGTGGTTGAAAAATGGTAGCTCTTCGCGGAAAGATGAAGGGCCTCCCGGGACCAAATCTTGGTCAACCCGGACCATGGATCCAGAAGTAGGTTCGGCTCGATGGCCCGGGAACCTTCATCCAGACCCCCTCAACGACACAACACGGAGTAGGGAGCATTCGGAGCGAAGAGGCGGGATAGCCGCTGGTCCTCACGGGTACTTATCGATACATTCCCAGATCAGGAAAAAAGCGCGAATCCAACTAAATAAGACGAAGAAAACCCGATACTCCCATGTAGAGGTTCTACAGGACGTGAGCTGTAAGTTTCATTGCTCTATTGCAGCTTATAATGTCTTTTCGAGCCATGGTGCAGGGCGATGGATCTGATCGTGTGTACTTAAATGTACTTGTACGTGCATGAATATTGATTCCCTTTATGCCTAGTGGCAACAGAGCCACCAACACTGGTGCCCTCCGTAGAATCTATGATTCTTCCTATCTCGTAGGCGCCCATTCCTGCCTCTTTTGTCGATCCAAATGTAGTCCGTAAATACCGACTCCATAGAACTTGATAGACGAGAGGAGCCGCTGTCTCGTGATCTCCTCGTGATCTGCAGCGGTCTAATGGAAGCAGCGTTGGGACTGGTCCAGTGACCAAACACCTGACCTGCGATCCGAACAAACCTCCAACGTCCATCGTCCAGAGGGAGAATATAGCATGCTCTGCCACGACCACTGGTGCGCTGTTGGGGATTTCTCCCATGAGGTGCGCAAGCTTTTTGCCTCGAGTTGACTCCACCCCACCGGTGCACGGAGCCCTAGAGGGCTTTGCACGCCACTATCGCCTCCCATCACGTCCTGTCAGCTTGCCCCGGTTGCGAAGCCCGCAGAGGAATCCAACGCCTTCAGGGCTTCCCTCCAACGAAGAAACCGCGTGTTTAGGTCGCTTTAGTGGGGGCCTGCCCGTCCGATCCCATCGGGCGTCCCCATCCAACCGTCAAGCGCCGTCGTTACCTTCCCCAGCAGGCTTTGCCAGGCGGCCAGGCCTTGTTACCCGCTGCGCGGCGCCTCGTACCCGCCCGTTCCTCGCGGCCCACGACGAGCGCCCAGTTTGACATGTTGACTCGTCAAGAAGGGTCCTCACTAACTATGGCATTGAGAATAGACATGCCCAGTGATCAAATCGGCTCGATAGGGAGTACTGTCGATCGTGCAAGAGCGACGAGAGCCCGTCATGCCTGTCGAGCCAGGGACGCCCCGGTTGCGCTGATATATTCCGTGGGTGAAGCCGGGCACGCAAGCTCCAAACTTTTGTCTGCTGAGTATTCTCTTCTATCCTTCCCACCAGAATGATTTTTCCTTTCCTTTCTCTTCTACCAAGCTGACCGTTCGAGTGACGTGGTCACCTTTGTGCCTTGTGCCCGTGCCGTCAGGCCCGCCTCGCCTGCCGGCTGCAGTAGAATTAGCCACGCCGCTGTGGCGGAGTCGATGCATACTGTGGTGCCCGTTGTCCTCGGGCTCATACTGCATATGCAATTGACGTACATTGCTGTCAGCTCTCTATATACCCTGATCAGCAGTTAAGCTTTGCTTCATATTCACTTCGTTGTTTATTTTGCCGCTCGTTCTCCAGGTTATGTCGTCTTTCATTCCGAGACACAGAAGTATTTGTATATCCCCGCACACAACTCTCTTTTGCTTCATGACGCTCCAAGAATAAAAAAATTTTTTTAATTTAAATTATCATTTGCCACGAAGGTAATTTGCCTGTTGTGGCAGCTTTGAGAGCACAGAGTCTGGAGCTCTTCATTGGACCTGCTCATTACAGTGACTGTGTGTTGACTCTATGTCCATGCACACTGTTCTTCATTTGACGTGATGATATTGCGCTTGTTGTTATTACCTTTACCGCTGGATAACTGGTCTTCTGGCCTGGTGCCGGAGTTCCGAGTCAGGATCGCATCATGTCGTCACACAGGCTTGATCATGTTCGGAGACCGAGGCTTGTCGAAGTAAAGATCCCGCCTCAGACTGTCCCATCTTCGACGTCGCCAGAGTCAGCAATCCTCGATAGCCCCATTGTCGCACCTTCCAGATCAATGATCCCGAAGCCGACCAACGTCTCGACTGAGCGCACAAGGAGGCCATCTACCGGAGCCAGCGAAGACGAACAACCAACAATTCGCCCCTATGCAAAGTCGTCTAGACCAAACGACGATGCTCGTTCCTCAGGACTACCACGACCGGCCGGAAATTTCTCATCGCATCTGCCACCCCGACGCCCCTCTGAGAATTCCACCGCTACAAGTCGTTCCGTCCTCTCATCGGCTTCTCCTATCACTCCTATCACTCCCAAGACCGACAGATTGGGACTTTCAGGAGATCGGCCGCGAAATGTCCTCCGCAGGAAGGCTCCCTTCAGGAAGGAGAATGGCGCTTTCAGCATAGGGACCACGGCCTCCCGCAAGGTCGAAGACACGCAGCCGGCAGCAGCCGCAACAAGTTCCGTCGCGACGTCCGGTTCCGCAGAGCAGAGTGTTGGTCATGTGTCTGTCTCTGCTCAAGACCCATCTCAATCACGGCCAGCTGATTCCGCGTCAGCCATGGCCTCGAAGCTTCCGAGATTGAAGACCCCAAACCCCATTGAAGAATCTTCGACCCGTCCGATTCCGAAGGAACTCGCAGGCCTTTCGACGGTCGTCAATACGCACAATCTTCCTCCCCCACCGACACCCAACTTCGCCTCCGCAGGTAGCCCTTCTACGCGGTATTCTGAGTCTCCCGGGATGTGGAGCAGCAGGGGTTCGACACCGACTTCTCTCTCCTCATATTCTCCCGGTATCGTTCAACCTGCCCAAGTAGGTTACCGGTTGAGACAACCAAGTCCCACCCTGGTCCGAAAACCGATCATTTCACGTCCATTAACAAGCAGTCAGCAGGCGGAAAGGGAGGAGCACAAGAGTGTCGGGCCTCAAACGTCCCCTGGAGTTTCAGACTCCAATCCGGGAACTGAGCAAGGAAGACCCGTCCACGTGAGTGGAACCAACAGTAGTCCAGAGAACCCTACAAGTCCTCCGCCGCGCAAGTCGTCCGTGGAATTTAAGTCACCGAAGCAAAAAGATGACGAAGAACACCAACAGGCTCGCAAAGACCAGGCCGTTGAAGATGCCGAAGGACATGTCTTTGGCTCTGAGCTTCAACGTGAGGCGACAACTGGTCAATCCCCGACAAGCAAGAGTCCTGTGGCACCCCGGCGACCCAGTCGTCAAGGGACTGATGATTTGGAATTGCAACCGTCACCAGTTATCAAAAGCAATTTGATGACCTTGAGGACGACCGGCCATACCCGGCGCGAGTCAGCGGAAAAACTTCATCTTGGAGAACGCCCGCGTCCGTTGCCCACTCCATCAGCTGGCGCTTCTGTCGAATCGCTTCAATCAAATGCTTCCTCCCGTATTGCCTCTCGTACTGAGAAGCCATCGCAAATTCCCAAGCGGCCCGCACGCACTTTGACAAAATCACCGAAAGCCTCGAAGGACGCACAGGGTACGAGCTCAACAAGGCGATTTGGTCTTTTCAGTAAGAAGTCCAAGGTCGAATTGGCCGGAGGGAACCCCAGTCAACCGGAAAAACAGACTCGCAAAGGACCAGCAGCAGGAACCGGTCACGAAGGGTATGGCAAGTACGCACATCGTGGCCGTAGGACAAGCATCAGCAGCAACAGCGGGACCAGAGCACGATCCACAAGCACAACCAGGAGTGGCGCCAGGTCTATCTCCAGCAGGAAGGGCAGCGTGAGCAGTCGTCCGGATCTAGAAATCGATGACTTCCTACTTGATCGTCTGGAGCCTGTTATCATCAACGGAGGAGGAATGGACCAGGCGGAACTCGTTCGAACGCAGAGCGGTCAGAGCACGAGCAATCTCAGTGTTACATCGATGTCGGCTCACCAGACGGCGAAGGAAACGCAACCCCTTGGCGGATTTTCGTCAGAATCTCTCGTCTCATCGACAGAGCCCTTTGCGCAGCCGCCACGCTTTTTGAGATCGGACAGCCATCTGCCTTCCCAAGTCGAAGAGGGGAGACAGGCCGCTCTTAAGGATCGTTCGTTTCAACCACCACAGAAATTTGAAACGGATACGGCTGAAAAGGGCAGCATGTCTCAGGATGAGCCCACTTTTTCTGCCTTACCCCAGATCAGCACTGAAGCTCCTAGTGCGAGAGAAGCCTCTGACTCTGAAGCTGGAAACAAACCAAAAAAGTCTGATAAGCGAGGAAAAGGCATGGTGTGGAATTTCTTCTACAGAACCCATTCTGCGGGTCAGAAAGTACCTTCTCCTCCAGCGTCAGCTTCTCATCCAACGACTGAACTTCATGCCACTGTCACACCAGTTTCTAATAACAGGTCTGTCGCGCATTATGCACTTATTGATGGTGACTCTAATTCACTGGAGGAAATCTTACGTCGGGTGGAAGAGTCGCCACCAACTGAAGAGGAGAATGCGCCGTCATCTGACACTACCGCTGACCCAGATATGAAGAAGCCCCATGGGTCGTCCGTCTTGCTCCCATCCCCGCCTGCTCTGTGGACTGAATACTCCAATTCCAGGGAAGTCCGTTCTGCATCACCTAAGGTGTTCTTTCAAAAGGACGTCAACGAGGATAATGTCCAGCCGAGCCAACCGCGTCTTAGTCGATTGACCCCCGTGGGGCGCATACCTCAAGTAGTGTCAAGAAGAGACAGAGATCACAAACCCGCGGCTGAATCATTCTCCCGGCCATTCAGCCGCGATGAGGCGCCATCCTTGACAATCACAGCCAATTCCCAGCCAGATGTTTATTATTCGTCTAGCCGTCCACCCCTTGGTGTCCAAACCGATGTACTTCCAAGCAAACCGTTCGGGCCTGAACCTGATACTCCCAAGCCATCTAGTGATGCTGTGCCCAATGAAGGGATGAAATTTGCTTCTGGGGCATACGCATCCAACGAGTTCCTGCAATTTTCTCCGAGAAAACAATCACGGGTCTCAAGTTCGACCGAGTCTGAAGATACAATCATGAAAGCCGTGACTGCAATGGGCCCTCGATCTGACTGGAAGCCTACTGAGGATGAAGTATGGACCGAATACGATGATCTGCTTGACAGTGTGGCATTGCCAGAAAGCGGCGTCTTACAACAGCAGCCCAAATCTGATGAAGGGGGGCCATTCGAAATGGTGACAAAGGCCAGCAAGACTCTGCAAGCTGAGTTGAACGCATCAAGTGACGATGCTGCTGTCCCTGAAACACCCAGCGTTGTGCCACCTCCAGCATCTGCGAGGTCCTGTGACGGTTCTGTGCGGCTTCGCCGCTCAAATATTGCATCAGCCCTTCACTCTGGGTCACCATCTCCTCAGGTATCATGTAACGAGCTCACCGCCGGGTGTGGAGAAGAAACGAAGAGCAGTCAGGACGCGGCCAATTCGGATAGGCCTTCGGAACCGACCCAAACGAATGACCCATCAATTGAGCTTCGACCCTCTACCCCGACAACCGTTCCTGATTTCGAGTCTACTCGCCGTCGCAATACCGTGCTATTCGATATTGCCGAACGAGATCGTGAAGGCACCGCGGCACAGACTAATCTTCGGTCAGCTTCACTCATGACGAGTCGCTGGCTATCCTTCGGACGGGTGCTCTTCAGCCCGGCACACAATCGGGTCAAGTCGACGGATCAGGAACGCATCCTGGTCATTGATGGGCTAGGGAACGATGACTGGTCATATTACTGTGCGCTGACGTATCCCAACGCAAATGTATACAGCCTCAGTATGAGACAGACGTCGTCAACATCCACGCATCCAGCCGCGTGGCAGCCGCCTGAGAATCACCATCTCATTCCCCACACCAGCGTTGACTCACCGTTTCCGTTTCCAAAGGGGTTCTTTACAGTTTGTATTCTACGTTTTCCTGCAGCCTGTTCTGAATATGGGCAACGGAATATCATCTCGGAATGCAAGCGGGTCCTGCGGCCGGGTGGCTACTTGGAGATGAGCATTCTTGACTTGGATCTCGTGAATATGGGAAATCGAACGAGGAAAGCGGTGCGGATGCTCAAGGAAAGGATCTACCTTGCCGATCCAAGCATAAGCCTCAAGCCGGCCAGTGACAATATTCAGAAACTCTTGGGAACATTTGGCTTCGACAATCTGAAGCGCTGCATGGTGAGCGTGCCGGTGTCAGGGGTGATAGTTGGGTCCTCTGACTCTTCCAACTCGAACCACTCGGCTTCCACTCCGACTCCTAAAACGTCGACGGGACCCTCGTCAAATCCAGCTTCGGCAACAGAATCACAGTCACGCAAGAGGACGTCTTCTGATACGGTGGAACAATCCCTTGGTGATCTTCTCTCTGACCCATCTCCTTCAGCGTCGAACGATGAGTATATTGCAAGGATGGTGGCTCGAGTCGGACGTTGGTGGTATACCCGGTGTTACGAAATCCCCGTTCTGTCGGATGGCGCCTTTGACCGCAGCATTTGGGCTGACCGGAAGCTCCTCCGGGAGTGCCAGAAGCGCGGCACAGGATTCAGACTGCTTATTGCGTATGCCCAGAAACCCAACGAAAAGAGAAGAACGGCCAGTGTGTGACAGGATAGAATTCGCATGCACTACTGAAGCTTTATATTAATCACCTTTACGACTTGCTTTTATGACTATGATGATGAGACATGACATGAACTGCATGTATGGCATGACGATGATGACGACATTTACTCATGTTTGATGCTTTTCTTTCCCTTTAAATTCTCAGAATCGGCTGAGATTTTAATGCTCTAATTCGGGGCGGCAACAACTCGGTACAGTACAAAATTGCAATACGGAAAGACAAAAGACACATCATGGACCTCGCGGTCCGTCTCTACTTGCATGGAGGTCTCGTGACAGTTTCTGCTTGTTTGTCAGTGTTTACCGAGTCAAGTTGTCTAGATCTCTTGATGATTTCATTATTTGGAATGTTCTTTTGTTCTTGTTGCATGAGATACCAATTTTCAATGATCAACAGCTGTGCTGGTTGTTTATTATTTATTCCCTGTGCGTATAGTTTTGTGTATTCTGCTTTTTAGTCTTCGCTTCCCTTCTCTTTTTATCCTCTACTTCACTATGATTTATTATGATTTACCAACTGTACCCTATTGGGTGGCTAATTTGTATCTGTGCCTGGTAGCCATAGTTGTTTGCTGCTGCTAGCACTTTTCTCTCAAGCAGGTCTTGTGGATGTGAGATGGGTTTATGTTATTTAATATGCGATATTTGTCTTCTTTGCAGGTTTATATATATACTATTTACAGCTATTATATAATATTTGATTGATTTCATCAAAAGGATATCCTGTCAGCATTCCTTGTGTGTGCTCACCTGCACTGCATGCAGGTCTTATATTACTAAGATAAAGACATGGAGTAACAGTATCCAAGCCAATCAACTATTACTATATTTCCCAGCTCCCAGGGACAGTAAGTACTTCGATGGCGTAGCTTAGCATAGGATTTCGATTTCGGGTCACCGTCTGAAGTATGGAGGTGGGAAACCTAGCCTAAAAATCAATACGGTAATGCTAAGTATTACTTAATTCGGTAATAACTATTATTTTCTTTTCCTCTTGTCTTTATTTTCTTGTTTTGTTACTTTCTTACTTTCTTATTCTCTTATTTTCTCATTACTAAGCTTTATAAGCACTTGCGCACCAGAATGCTTCTGATGCTACATGTACTGACTCAGCATCCTGTGTGACCTTTTCACTCACATGGTCTAGCGAGTGCAAGTCCAGACAATCACATTATTTTATTTTATTTCTATACTTCATATGCCTATACCGCGGCATGTCTATTGCTATAAGGTAGGTAGGTATTGGACAATACTATTCCCAAAAAAATTGCCCTCTTATACATAAATGCTTACACATGTGTATGTAATTCATTTGGCTGGCCGTCTGCGCTATGATTTTTCAAGCTTCTCTGCTGGTATGTTTTCTATCCATTCTTCCAGGTACGCGGATCACCCCAGAATTTTCCAATATCAGCTGAAAGAAAAAGAATCTGGGGCATGGACTATATCAGGGGATGTTTTACCTGCCTTGAGTGTGAGATTTTAGATCACTCGCATGTAAGATAAGATCTTGGCAGGTAAGAGATCGACCGCCAAGCAATTGTAAGTGGGATAATACATCATAATCAATCGATTTTCCAATCTGACATTTACTGGATTTGGCAAGATGAGGGAGGATTGTCTGCAGTGACAAGGATCCTACCAGCAAGTGGATTTTTCTTAATAATATCTGGGAGATTTGATGATAATGACATATGCAAGCTTCTAATAATATCCGCAATGATTTTCTAAGAATAAGAATATCTGTAGAGGAAGATGTCTTCTGATGGCAGATCTAGGAGTATATAAAGAAGCAATATTCCCTCCAGTCTCTCTCTCCCCCTTTCCTATCATCAGTCAAGGCAATCATCTCTGAATCTCATCCCCGAGCTCTCTCTGTCTATCCTCGCTCTCTGTCCATTTGTCTTCTTCAGCTTTCTCACTCTCATCATAATGGTGTCCTTCAAGACCATCCTCCCTATTTCCGCCCTTCTCCTCAGCATGAGCCACGCAGCAGATCTGGTCGTCACCTCCTGCAGCGTCGTAAACAACAACAAGCAATTCGGCTGGTCGATCAGCTGGAACGGCGTCCCGCCACAGTCCGAGCCGTCCGTGTGCGGAAACTTCGGCGGCAACAAGGGCAACAACGGGGTGGGCTGGATGCAGACGATCGCCAGCCAGGCCGGCTGCCCTGTCGAGGGCGGCATCAGCTGCTCGACCAACGGCGCGGAGATGAATACCAACTTCGTGCTTGGCGGCGAGCTGAGCTGTGCCGATCAGGCTGTTACCATCAAGAATGCGATGCAGCAGACTATCTCGTCGTTGGCGACGGTTCAATTTGACTTTGCTATTTGCAGTCGGTTGGGGTGTTAGACGCACACCACACAACCACCCACGTGGGGAGAGTTGGAGTCTGGGACAAAAAATGTGTTGATTGATTGATTGATTGATTTGATCGGAGAACCAGAGTTGAAGGGATGAAGAAGTGCTCGAGCGGTCGTTATATATATTCTGCCGTCTGTCTCTCATTAACAATTATTTACTAGTCGCTCCTTGAATGAAATCATTATACATCCTAAGTGCCGTATATAAATATCAATATGTTTAAACCAAGTTTAAAGAACACTTTTATCTGGTAGATGTGGCATTCAGTCATTCAAGGTAGTCCTGTGCTAGAGAAGTGGCCATCCTAGTTATATACTAGATAAGCCAAACTGAAAGGGTAACAGGGTAACAGTATATCATTCTCCCAGTTCATCCTTAAATTTTTTTTTCCTTTTTTTTAAGATCCACAACCTGAGCAAGGATTCCGTGTTATATCTAATCTAATCTAAAAGCTTCAAGCAAATGCAAGACTCGATATGTAAGAAGGATGTTTGTGGTATATCTATCCTAATAGAAAAAAAACACAAACCTAACACTGACAATCCTAATCCTTAAATAAATAGAATAGCTTAAAGAAGTATCCTTCGCATCCTAAAAAGGAGAAAAAAATGCTAAAAAGGTAGAAACATGCAACAGCTGGGATTCGCTGGTGGTCACCCACCCAACTACTAACCAGCCGGCGTGTGGCTTAAGTACGGCTGAGCGGACGGGAAGCCCTGTTTTCCACACCCCATGGTCGCATGTGCTAGACGTTTTTGATCAAGGGATTATATAGAATGAATAAAGGCAAGAAAACCGAGTTTGAACGCCTTCTTTGATCTGATTGATCTGATTGGTTCATACGATGTAAAATCACGTTAGGAATTTGAAATCATGTGATTGATTTCGCTTACACTGCCCATTGGGTAGGTACCTAACAAAGTCTGTAGGGAGCTCAAGCTGATTGGCTGAATGTCATACTACGCGCTGCGCAAGGACTTAGCTTGGTAGGAAGGGCTCTTTATTTACCTACGCCCGTAATAAAGCCCTAGGAATGTATTTTATCTGAACAATAAAGTATCCGTCACATACTCTAAATTGTATCAGCAATGTAGCAGTTGAAACATTATTTGCGGATGATTCTGAGTGCCTTTAATATGACCAGATGGTGTCACGACGTGTGCTAGCAATTAAATTAGATGTAAAAATAAGTTGCAACTTATCGGTAAAAGCTCAACATGTTTAGTGGGGTTAGGTGGGGAGTGTCTAACGGTCTAACCTAATTCTAGTTATCGGGTAGTACAGTACATGCGGAGGATTACTGGACAGGGAAGCTTTTCCTAAGAGCAGACAGCCTGCATGCAGATGCACTAGACCTACAGCAGTATGATGCCTATGCAGGAATCCGTATTGTGATATTATCACTGGTCGTACTGTCATTCGGTTAATCAATTAAGCTTTTGCCATCAACCATAATTAGAACAAACAATTGGGGATGGCGGTTAGCTGCATCCAGCCCGATTAGGAAGTGATTCAAGAGGAGAGGCTAACTCTACCAGCCCAATGGGGTCGGACAAAAAGACCGAGTCTATGTGTATCCGCATATGAACCCAACGTTATTCTTATCAACACGTTCCCCCGACTTGGTATAGGCGTGTCGAGCGGCGGCAAGGCTGGGCGAACAGCCGCAACACAGGAACCAACATGAGAAGAGCCCAGTTCTCGCCATTTGGCGACCAGCCCTTCCGTGAACTTCAGACTCCATCAGCGCCATGAGGGCAGGTCCCAAATACGAACACGTCGACGATGGCCAGGCAGGAAGCCCGCTGACACTGCCTGGACCACGGCGCCTCCGTCCGTGGTATGCGGACGGTTTTGGTCTGGGTCGCGTCCTCCTCGACGTTATCGGCGCATCGGCCGCCCTCCTCTTCGTCATTTTTGGATTCCTCGTTTACCAAGCAGATGGAAAACCGTCTGCCGCCCGAGAGTCGCAGCGCCTGCTGTCGGTGGCCCAGTGGGTAAGCATCGATCCCTCTCTCTCTCAGTTGCCTCGTCTCGAGTCAGAGAACACTAATTGAAGGCATTCAGGGCCCGACTATCTTCCCGGTGCTGTTTGCAGCCGTCGTCGGTCGGGCAATGAGATCCCTAGCCACCTGGCGCATTCAACGAGGCGCAACGGTCAAATTCGTCGAGCAGCTCATGGGCAGTTACAGCATCTCGGGCGCTGTGTTTACCCAGCTCTTCCTGCACGCCTTCGATCTCGTGGGCCTGGCCATCGTCCTGATCTGGGTGCTGTCCCCCCTGGGCAGCCAGGCCTCGCTGCGAGTCATCTCACCGGACACCGTGTACCTCACCAACAACACCGCTCTCACGGCCATCGACACGTTCTCCCGGTATCCCGATGCCGGGGTCGACAGCATAGACTGGTCGTATATCCCTCTGAGAGCGATCTTTTCCGCCGGACTAATGTCCGTCAAGCTGCTCCAGACACGCAACCAGGATATCTGGGGGAATATCCGGATCCCATATCTCGGCCACGACGCGGTCATGTCGGACGACTGGACCGTTTTCGCGAACACCAGCAACGTCACCTATTCTTCCCTGGTCGGGGTCCCGATCTTTACCATCCCCCAGGAGGGCAACACGACCTTTACCATGTCCACTTCCTACTTGGACCCAAGCTGTTCGGTATTCGACTTGCGCCCGGCGCTCGACAACGCAACAAACGACGGCTTCACCAACTACTCATCTCCGGATGCACCGCGTCCGCCCGGCCGCACCGACTGCTCGTGGGACACCGCCTCCGGATACTTGGTGTCTGTTGCCGGGTCCCGACCCTGCCAGACTCTCGTCTTTAACTCGACCACCGGACGTGATGCGCGGGTTCTGGTCCTGGAATCGTTGATGGATTACGTGCCACAGTACATCAGCCACATGGAATGCCAGCTGTTCACCACGTATGTCGACATGAACGTCTCGTGCACGGGGGCGACGTCGTGTGCGGTGACCGCCGTGCGCCCAACTCCCCATCCACCCACCGATCGAAACTGGACCGTCTTCGACCTTCCGTCGGACGCGATGGTGACGACCATGTACGGATTCTTGACGGACTTCACAAGCTTATTTCCGCCGCCCCACGAGGGTAGCCAGATGAATCCGGTGTTGCAGTATCTCGCGGACCCTGGCAACGCCATCAACGACAACCAGCCCTACAACCTGTCCCAAGTCGCACGGGGGTCTTCGAGCTCCGACTGGCGCAGCTCCTGAACACGCAGTTCCTCTCGGCCCTGTCGCCCAATAACACCATCGGCTTTTTCGAGCCTGCTGATCAGTACAGCAACTGGCGGATGGTCAATGTCACGGCCCAGACGACCACCTCCCGCAGCGTCGTCCGCTGCAACCACGCCTGGCTCGCGGCGCTGATCATCGCCTCGGCGGCATGCTTTGTCGCTGCCGTCGCGGGGGCTGCCGCACGGCTAGCCACCCTGGTGCCCGACGTGCTGGGCACGCTCTCGCTCGCGATGCTCGATAATCGATGCGGCGACATCGCCGTTGGAGGATCGACCCTCGACGGCGCGACCAAAGCAGCATTGCTGAAGAATGTGAGGGTCCGTCTGGGGGATGTCCGGCCGCAGGAGGAGGTCGGGCTGATCGCGCTGGCAGGGCCGTTAGGGAGCGAAACCAGTACCAAAGTGGCGATGGTACAAGAAGGACGATTGTATGAATGAAACTGGAAGGAGGAAGAGGAGGGAAGAAGTGGGTGTCGGATTACATTAGCAAATCTATATATGTCTATGTGTGATATAATCATAGATGGAGGATGCAACTCACCGGAACATAATGCTTTTCTAAATTGCGGCTGGTCTCTTAGTCTGACCTCAGTGATCGGGCAGAGCCATGAAATTGTACCAGTCGCCCTGACGCGATGTAGCATATGCAGGGCGATAAAGTAACCCCGCAGGATTGTTGTGGAAAAGACTCTGAGGGAGCGTGGCGCGGACCGCATCTGGACTGCTCACGCTGACCTCGTGACGGATGCGAACAAGTGGCCTGCCAGGTAGTCTTAGCCAAAGGTATCATTATATACCCAAAAAAGAAGAAGAAAAAGAAAAAGAAAAGAAAGAAGAAGAAGGCGAAGAAGACACACTGTGTTTTGGCAATATGGATGGATATTAGAGGAAGATAAGGGAAGAAGCTACAGTGCTCGCGTAAATTATGAATCTTGTCAGCGTAAGGACGAAATTGAGTATAACTTATGGCTTGACAAAGGAGATTTTCACCCCTTAAGAATTTTGATTTGCAAATTCACAGTCTCTTTTGGCCACTGACGACGCTCCCACCACGTCTTCGCCACACCAGCAGCAGGCTGCAGTGCACCATGAGTCGACCTGAGAGCTCAAACCTGCCAATCAACAGTCGTCACTGCCCCAGCTCACTATGCTCACCTTCATCTCCTTTCAAAAAATGAATCAAACCATATTGGTAGCCATCTGACTAAGATTCGAAGGAGATCTCCGAGGGCTGGTGAAATATGCATAGGTCACCTGCCTTGTCTCAGCATGTTCAACTACTTGGCTCCAATCTATCACAAAAAAACAAAAAAAAAGAAAGAAAGAAAGAAGAAAGAAATGGATAAAAACATGCAACAGGTATTATATGTTGGTGCTCACCAGTTGCTCTTCTATTGAGAATAGCACCTTGCCGCTTGTTCAGTCATGATTCAGGCGACGTTCACAGAACTACCTGGTTGGTTGGGAAACAGAGTCCAGAACCAGCTGCGAGGCCACCTACATCTTCATCTCATTGAAGTTCTCAGTCACTGACTCACTCGACTTTCGTTGCTCGTCATCAGTTGTCTTCGATGGGCTTGATGATCAGGCGACCTACCAAGTTCAGCCCCTGGTTTTGGGTGAGTCCCCGTCGGCTTTATCTCTGGAGTAGCTGATAGCACGTCACCATTGACATTCTCCTCACGCTCCACCACCTATCTCACTTATTCTCCCACTAATATTCATATAGGGATGATATTAAAAGTGGGATCGAGACCGCTGGCGGCCCAAGACGTGACTTCTTCGTCGCTGAGAGGACGGGAAACCCCAATACAGAAGGAGCGATATTCGTCCACGGTAGGTAGTCATGATATATCACGATGGACTCCAAGTCTGATTGGCATTTATATATACTTACTCTGGGTTATATAGAGCTCCACCTCACTGGTCTCTACGATGGAAGTGTGAAGTACCCTGACGCACATATCCTCGAAGCTCATCATCGTTACTTACCCAGCTATTGCGCTTGAAACTGGTGTCTCGGAGCCACTGATCAGCTTTTCAATGACGCTGAGAAATTACTCGAAGAAAGGTTAAGTCTGCACATTTCGAGGAGTGAATGTTCGATTTGCGGACATCCAGGCGGCCAAAACTCCGCCAAGGCCTTGCGAGAACACCTATCCAGATACGAGTATCCATACCGTTTACGGGGAGCTCCGAGCCGTGGCCGAAATCAAGACGCCCTGGACAACGGATCTGTGGAAGACTAATGAAGATGACACTCGTATGGTATGGGGTATGCCGCAATTCGATCCTCGTTCTTCTCCCCTGAGTTGACTTATTAACAGGGGTAAATTGGGGCCTATATGGACCACTGCGGTAGTCGATATGGGTTTGTCAGCACATATCAGGAGACGGTACTTCTCCGTCGAGTTGGAGACTTTGTCTTCGAACTCTCGCCGGTGGTCTTACATACCACTAAACCCTAACTCAGCCATTGACTGTTAGCCTTAAAGAAGTAATGCCTTGGAATTGGCATTGATTTGGCCTGACAGCCAGGCTTACTATACAGAGCCCCAAAATTTAAGAGAAGAGCATCCCAACAAACAGCTTGCGGCCCTGCCCCAAGTCCCAAACTATCCACCCCTGCAGAGTAACCCTCAGGAGAATCTATAAAATCTTCAGAATATTCTCGACTAACAGAGAGATTATCGAAACAATGCTTGCACCATCACATTGGGCCAAACTAACCAGATTCTGTAATTCACAGGTCCTTGTTTTACCAGATCAATCCCAGTTAATATTTAATAATAATGCATCCTACCCACCTACCTACCTACCTAGTTGACCGAAACAAAACAAAAAGAAAGAAAGAAAGCATGAGGAAAACAATTCAAAATAAACCCCGTTAACCCGTTGCGCATTAGGAGCCAAGTCAACTTCAAAAGAAAAGTGAAAAAAAAAATATTACAACAGGTCCTGTCCTGACCCAGCTGGATAGATAATCGCCGTATCCAAGCCGTGATCAGCTTTAATTTAATGGTGATGATGATGGTAAAGAATTTCTTTTTCGGTCTCGTTTTTCCTTCCCTTCTTTTTTTCGTACACTTTGTCTTTTAATGACTTACTTCCCAACCTTTGTTTTCTTCTTCGGCCTCTCTTCTTCTATCTCTTCTTCCTCTTCGTCGACCACGTCGGACGCGTCGTCCATCTCGGCATCGCTCTCGCTCTCGCTACCGCTGCTCTCGTGCGCAGAGTCGTACTCCTCCGCTGGGTCAGACTCGGATTCCGCCTGGAAGTCCTCGTCGATGGACTCCTCGTCTTCGTCCGCAGAGCCGCGGTCGGCGCCGCCTTCCTCGTCGCTCGTGAGGTCTTCGTTGTCGAGGGCCGCGGCGATGAGTGCCGAAGACTGAAGGACAGTCAGTAACTGTCCGTACGTGTGCAAGCGTATATATGCGGGGATGGGATTCATTGGAATACTCACGTCATCCAGCATCTCGTTCTTGAATCGGATGTTCTTCGCTTTGAAGAATTCCTCCAAAGGTTGTTGCTCCTCACTAGAAATCATTATCAGTGGGAAACGTCACTTGCGAGGACAAGGGTTGATATCATACCGGTTGATGTTGCTGAACTGGTGCTCCCCCATTCCGCCCTTCAAGGTGATCGTGATATCAAACGTCCGACTAGTCGAAACGGCGCCTCCCACACGGGACATAGTAATGACGGAAATGTTCTCGATTGGAATGTACGTGGCTGGCTTCGGAACAAACATGAAACTCTTATCCAAGCAGAACAGCAGGCCTTCGTTCGCTTTGATCGAACACTTGACTCCATGGTGGCCATGGTGGCTGATGTAGTGTCAGCACTGTGAATCTCTCCAAGAGTTTTAAACCTGAGTGCGACTGACCTGACAAAATCTTTCGATGGCAAGATGACCTTCTTGCCCGACAGTCCTCGGAAGATTTTGGTGATCACTTGGTGGATCGGCTCCTCATATCGAGGCTCCAGTTTATCCTTGTACCGGGTTTGTAGTAACTCTCTGTCACATAGTCAGCAGGTAATAGTCAAATCAACGACAGTGGCGATCACGCACTCAGTCATGTTGAGTTCTATGCTGATCTCCTCATCCAGCTTCAACTGCATGACCAGGAACGGGTACCTGGTCTGACCCTGACGAAGTGGCGGATCGAGACCCAGGACGATGAGCGTGTGCATGTCGTCGTTCTTGGGGAGCAGGAAGAATTTCTTTATCGACGAGTACTGAATCTTGTAGTCGTACGTCTTACCACGTAGTCGGAAGGATGACTCGTACATATCGATATCGAAACGACCTCTGTGTGCGCTGGTTAGTTGACCCAAACCCATATTCCTACTGCTAAAGAATTGTGCGTACCTTGGTGTAAGGTGGAGGACATCCAAGAACGTCGCAAATGTGTCTCCCGCAACGTCTCCGATCTCCGCCTTGTCCATGAGCGTCTCGTAGAATAGATTGGCCGCATTTTGCTCTTCGCCCTCCTCTTCCTCCTCGCCTGTTTCCTTTTTCAGGGCCGTTCCCGGGATGTAGAATCGCATTTCCACCAGCTCGTCCGGGCCCGCCGCAGCCTTCCGGCCACGGTTTTTCGTGCTGCCATCGAGGCGCCCATTGACACCATTGGTCTGCTGACTATCCGTCGGAAGAGCGAACTCGACAGCGACCTCGTTTTTACCGGCCAGGTTGGTGTTGGAGATTTCAGTGTAGGGGATCTCAAAGGCAGGGCGGTTCTGGACGTTGAACGTGAGTTCCGCTTTGGTGAACTCTGCCTTGCCCCAGTTCCATCCTCGCAGAGCGTGCTCGCGCTGCTCGATGGTGATGCCGTACCAGATCTTGAATGCCTTGCTCAACCGGTCGAAGTCCTGAAAACACCACCGAGTTAACCATCGGAGTGGCACACGCGATGGGCGTCACCGCCAAACTCACCTCTTGCTCGAATCCATCCAGCTGGATGACACCCGATGTGCGCGACAAGATTTTCAGCTCATACCCTTTCGCCGCTCGACTCCACTGCGCTGCGCCGATGTTGGAGCTGTCGAGAGTAAACGTCTCGCCTCCGCCCATGGGCCGCCAGCCCAGACCGCTCTCTGCTAGCTTGCATTTTCCTGGCTGCTTCGACAGATCCAGGTAGATGTTCTCGAAGCTCTCCCTAGTAGGAATGTGAGTCCGAAGATCCAGCTGTGTAAAGTGAAGAGATGCCAGCTTACATAGTGGAGATGCGCTCAGTAAAATAAATTGCAGGCCTGGTGAGCGATCTAAATTCGGTCTTATCCTCACAGACACAAGAGACACCAGACGCAGATGAGAGGAATTGAAGTTGGGCGAGGGACTGGCGAAGCTGTTTGGAGGGAGCTGTCTATCAGGCCAAGCTCATGGACAATTTCTGGACCTCGCGTTGCAAGCGCGGCTGGCGGCTGCGCACGCGGCGCGGCAAAGAGAGCTGCTTCCGCCACTGGTCGCCTGAAGCGGATTAGCGCGCCAAGCTCCCGCGCTGCCTGGGAAATTGTTGCCTGCGCAGTCGGGCATCAATATTGTCCACACACTTCTTGTCGACATTGGATTGAGAATGATGGATTACTGAGTAAATAATTAAGTAAGAGCTCTGTGGGACCGTATTCTCGGGTGGAAAAGATATGCGTCTCCCGTAAAATCGTAATTCACCGTCGTCTGCCAGCTGTGGTATATTAACTGCCTCCACCTACGAAGCTGCGGATGCACATCGAATGATAAATATTATATATACAACCGACGCCTGACCAAAAGTCAATAGACCTGATATCTTTCAACATGCCAATCCACCTTTTTGAACTAGCTGGCCAAGAGGACAGCCATGGCCCACAAAGGCGCGATTCTATTTAAAGGACCTCGATAATCGATCAGCCCGTTTGATCGACTATCCGTTCAAGGACAAGATCGTTTGCCAAGTCATACTCCACGGCAGACTTCACACAATCCATTCTTCGTACTCATCTTTGCTGTTCTGAAACTCCGGACAAGCCTGTTCATGGAGAAGTGAATGATCTATAAAGTTGAAGTCTTTGTTTTATTCGTATCTTGCTGCTTTGAGAGGTCGGTTTGTTGGCCTGTGATGTAATAAATACGACTACCCGTTCTGTGCTTTGGACCACTAGAAACTCAGTGAGCCTCGCCTTTGTCTCACTTGGTTTTTGGCCTTTGCCCATGACAGTTAGCTACTTATGGAGTAGTTATAATTGGATTATTACCGATGTGGGGTGGAAGATCGAACGAAGCTGTCAATGACGAATAGCACAGCCCCATCGGAATGGGCGATCAAACTAAAAGCCACACAACCGGTGTCAAGTGCAACGCTGCTGGAACAGAAGAATGTCCCAGGGACCAGGTTCCTTGGGAGAACAGTCTCTGGCGAAGATGCTATCGAGCACGACATGAATAATGCTGGTATTAAGGATGCTGGCTGGCATGCGGCCTGCACCGTGGTTCTGCGACCCGGACGGCATCGTCCCGTCTGGACAGCGGCAGCCGTGCTGATTGGCCGGAGCCACATATCTCCGGGCCCGAACAAGCCACTCCGAGACGTGCAACGCAACCGGCGCGCCGCTGATTGGGCCAGGCGGGCGCGATGCCCCACCGGGCCGGGCTGCAACTCGACGCACGAGAGGCCGGGCAGCTGCACCCTGCGCGCCCCTTTGGGCTCTGGCTTCTGCTGCCAGTCTGCCAGCCTGCCAGGCACTTCCATTCATCATCACCTCTCCCCCGTCCCTGCGGCCATGTCACTCCCTTGATCAGCCAATCCATCCAACTTCGCACATTCGTTTTCCATATCCTTCGGTTCGTTGCTTTCTTTTGTCCCCTTTCAATGCCCCTTATTCATACCCGTAATTCTTGACTGCAGACGCATTGTTTGGCTCTGCGGGTCTGCATGTTTTTGCTGCGCTCTCCTCTGCCAAAACACCCCTTTCGGTACCCTCTGGCATTCCTGACGTCCTCACGTTTGGCAGCCCCCTCGTTCGCTACCTCTACCGCCCCTTTGACGTCCCGGCCGCTTGTGACTCCGAATCGACTATCGTGGATTGCCAAACGATCTCTTCTGGTCTGTCGTCGCGCCCTAAGCGATGAGGGCTTCCTCACTGTTTAGGCCTGCGACGGCTGGCTTTTGCTCCCTCGCCAGATTATGGCCGTTCCTCGCCCTCTCACAGTCGTCGGCCGTCAGTGCAATAACAATCACCCCCGTGGCACTGCCTGACCTCGATCTCTCGCCCCTGGGCAGAGTTGCGCTGACCGGCAATTTCGACGCGATCTCGCTTTACTCGTACGAGCAGCAGACCGAATCTCTCCCTTCTCGCAATGGCTCGCAGGCACTGCGTACGCCGCTCCCCAACGGAGTCCTGGCGACATTGTCGACTGCAGACGCGGACATCCTGGCGATGTGCCCTTTTACGCGTAAGGATGGGAGTTTCGCCGGCGTGATGGTGGGTGGGAACTTTACCAGCTTGGGCGGCGTCGAATCGCAAGGCCTGGCGCTGTACAACCCTGCGGCAAATAGCGTCGAAAGTATCTCGGGCCTCACTGGCACGGTATCGGCCCTGCTGTGCGACCAAGACACCGATTCCGTCTATGTTGGTGGTGACTTTTGGGTCGACAATTCAACCAACGCGGCGATCTGGACCCCAGGTCAGGGATTGTCCAGCGTCCCGTTTGGTGGGTTCAATGGCCCCATCTCGTCCATAGTCAAGGCGGATGATGGCCACATCATCTTCGGTGGCTCCTTCGACGGTCTGGGAAACGAAACAACCACCAACCAAAAGAACGGTTCCCAAGTTATCAACCTATCCACCGCCACAATCACGAGCGATGCGAATTCTGGTCGCGCGGGCTTCGATGATCCTCGTAATATCATCTGCAAGACTTCCGATCAAGATGGCCCGGGAAACACATGGCTGCTTGCTGATTACTCCCCTGGATTTTGGCGGGCAGACATGCGTTTTGGGTTCCGACCCACGAAGCTTCGCCTGTACAATACCCATTTTGAAGGAAGGGGCACGAAGTCGTTTCTGCTGCAGGCATTACCCGACACTGGCATCATGAATCTCACCTACACGGATCCTCAAACCGGCCAGGAAGTTTTCTGCGACTCGGCGTGTCCGCTCTCGAACAACGCATCTGAAACCTATCGCGATTTTCGATTGGTCAACAATGTTGGCATGAGCGGCTTCATGATCCAGATCCAAGAGTGGTACGGTCAGGGGGCTGGGCTCGATGGGATCGAGGTCTTTCAAGATGGTGAGTGGGATGGTGCGCCGACAGGATTCGAAGCGGAATAGAAGCTGATAACTGGTAATAGACATTTACTCGTACGCCGTCAATGACTTCAACGAGCCAACCTGCGGAGGGATCGAGTTTCCATCCACATCGACCTCGACCGGCTCGTGGACAACAGTCTCCCCGGCGGGTCAAAGTGACTCCGAATACTTGACGGCTGACGTGACCAACGCAGATGCCACAAGCACCTCCGTCACGTTTGAGGCTGACATCAAGCAATCGGGTAACTACTCCGTGGCTCTGTACACGCCGGGATGTATCCAAGATGGAACCTGCCAATCGCGAGGCTTGGTCAACGTGACTGGCACATTTGCTTCCAGCACCAGGGAGGCAGCTCCTCTCCAGACCGTGATCGCCCAAACCAACTACTACGAAAAATACGACATTATCTACACGGGTTATGTGGAAGCAAACAGCGATAAATTCCGTTCCAAAGTCACCCTCACTCCGCTTGCTGGCCAAGGAACATCAAGGTTGTCGCGTCGCGGGTCGGCTTCCATCTCATCTCTGCCACTGGCGGTGGCGATCTCAACGGCTTGTACGAGTTCGATCCAACCAAGACAGGTGCCGATACGAACTTCTCAGCTTCCGCAATAGACAAAGTGGGTACTCAGTTGGACAAGGACGCTTCCATCTCCAGCCTGGTCACCTATAACGGGGTGATCTATGCGGGTGGGAATTTCTCGGATTCGACCTTGCGCAATATCATGTCGTTTTCCGACGGAAACGCGACGTCACTGCCTGGCGGAGGTCTGAACTCCCCGGTGGAATCATTACTCGTTTTAAATGATACCTTGTACGTCGGAGGAAACTTCACCGATACCGCGACTGGAGGGACGCCGAATTTGAACTACGTCGCCGCCTACTCGTTTTCGGAGAAGACCTGGTCTGCGCTTGGAGCAGGTGTCAACGGCCCTGTCACTTCTGTTCAGTCTCTGCCGGTGAATATATCCGCCGACACTACCGAGATGAGCGTAGCGGTCAGCGGTAAATTCGATCAGGTACGCGCGTTTGGTGATAACTCGACCATCTCTGTGTCCGGCTTCGCTGTGTGGGTTCCTTCCCAAAAGAACTGGCTGCAGAATCTCAATACCTATCAGATGGCCTTCAATGGCCAATTGGCCGCTTCTGCTGTCATTGGAAACAACACCACTATCCTTGCCGGTTCCCTGATTTCTGATGGTATCGCCTCCACTGGTGCCGTCTCGTTGACTGAGCCGAATGGACTCGCTCTCGAGCCTTTCCCGGTCGATATCGTGAAGGACACGACTGGTTCGTCCTTGTCGAAGCGGGATACCAGTTCGCAGAATGCTACGGGCGTTACAGTTGGCATATTTGATAAGGGTAATGGTCGCAACCTCACCATCCTAGGTGGGCAGTTTACCGCTAGGGCAACGAATGGCTCTACCATCGAGAATCTCCTCATCGTTAATGGTGCCAACGGTAACACCGTTACCGGTCTTGGCCCAGGCGTCGACAGCAACTCAACTTTTCGGTCTCTTGCTGTTCAAGGAGATACTCTCTTTGCTGGTGGGTCAGTCACTGGAAAGATAGGCACTTCTCAGTTGAACGGGTTTGTGGCCTATAACCTCGCTGGTGGGGACTTTGTCTCTCCCCAGCCCCCAGCGCTCACTGGGGACAATGGGGATAATGTCACTGTCAATGCAATTGCTGTACGCCCGGGTTCGACAGAGGTCTATTTCGGAGGTGAATTTGACGCGGCCGGAGCTCTCCCGTGCCCCAGCGTTTGTTTCTATGACACTTCCGAGGGTCAGTGGAACCGGCCTGGCGTGGCTATTGAAGGCACTGTCACGAGCTTGCAATGGGCGAGCAGTAACAAGTTAATTGCAGCGGGCAATCTCACAGTCGGGAACAATAAAACCATGATTGCGACGTATGACAACTCGCAACAGGCCTGGACCTCCATGGATGGAGCTTCGACACCCAATATTCCTGGTCCCGTTACGGCCTTTGGCCCCGCTGCTGAGGACATGTCGCAGTTCTGGGTCGCTGGCCAAACTTCCGACGGGTCCAGCTTCTTGGTTAATTACGATGGCTCCAAGTTCAATAGCGTGGGGAATCTCTTCGAGAAGCCGACCACGATCCTTGGCCTGCAGGTTCTGGGTCTCAGCCAAGATCACGCCAGCACCAGCCTGCTCAGAGCCGACCAGGTCCTCCTTATTACCGGCCAGCTGGTGATTCCCAACTTTGGCAACGCCTCTGCTGCTCTCTACAATGGAACCACCTTAACTCCATTCCTCTTGTCCTCCACGGCAGATGGTCAGGCCGGTAGCATTTATGAGTTATTCACTGAGAACCAGAACACGTTCAGCGGAACCAGTGAGTTTTCCCCTAGCCCTCTCCGTTATGTCTTTTGTCGCAATTACTAACGGTATTCCCCAGAGAAGCATCACTCTACAGGCATCGTGGTCCTCATCTCATTCTGTCTCGCCCTCGGCTGTGTCTTCCTCATCGTCGTCTTTGGCGTGATCCTTAACAAGATCCAGCGTCGCCGCCAGGGCTACGTTCGCGCTCCACAGACGTATGCGACTGACCGACCGACGAGCATGCGGCGTTTGCCTCCCGAGTATCTGTTTGACTCGTTGAGGCAGCGTCATGGCGGGGCACCGGCTATCTAATCTGGCAGTTTTCTGCCTCGAGGGAATTGAAATCGACTTTTGTTTTCGTTCTTTTGATCTCCCGCTCACCGGGTGGGCGTGTTTGGCACGGCGTTCTGAGGAGGCAGTTTCTTATACCCCCTTGCTAATGTCTAGCAACTTCTTGCTCACAGTCTTCCTTTTCCAACTCTCGTTTCCCCCCAGCCTATCCTTCTACTCTGTCCAACCTGGCTGTTGACTTTGAGCAAGTTCATGGGTGTCGTGATGCACCCGCCGTCTTGTGGATATCTTCTTGGCCACCTATCTGCCATGTAGCATATCGTGACCTCTGGAAGGAGGTCGTCATGTACATATCCCATGTTCTGTCCTTGTGGTATAATGATAGTAATGCATTGCCATCTACGGCAGTGATTGTTGCACTCATGAATCAGCGTGTAGTAGTACGTGCAGGAAAAGCACACACCGTATGCTGGAACGAGTAAGGTTGCCACGAAGCAGTGTCATATGACCCGCAAAGAACTTGGCGTCGGATTAGCTTTTTTTTTCCCCGAGACTCGTGACATTGCCTGGAAAGGAAGTCCGTCCCTGACTCCGATTGTGACTTTCTCTGTTCCGTTTGTCTACAGGCTGTTCACAGAAGGCGCAAAAAGAATGAACTGCCAGGATGATTCCTGCTCAGCATTGAGCGCTGATGCGGTATGGATAGCTGTCGCAGCAGGATGACTCATGAGTTGTCTCTACGCGAAGACCATTAGCTTGGGTCGCCAGCCTGGAGTCTGGAGCGGCATGCCGATTCCCCGCACAGGAAAGCCGGGCTTGGCCCCCAGTCGATAACTACAGCAGATGCTTCCTCTGGACTCTCTCCGAGTCTCTGCAGCGGAGAAACCCCCGCTCGCCATGTCTTTCGCCCGGCCAGGCCACGCCAGCGGACCAGCGCCGAGTCCTGGCCTCGTGCCCTGCCCTCCCCACATCTCTGCGCACGAGTCATCCAGAGTGCCAGCGGTCTCGACCCTCTCCCCTCCGGCGTCCATTGCTCCGCTCCAGCTTCTCTCTCAACCCGTCTGATCGACTCTTTGATGTTGTCGTAACGACTCGTTTCGCGCCCGCCATCAGTCGGCATGCGATCAAGAACGGGCTGGTACGTATCGAGCTTCCCCTCTCCGCACGCTGGCTTTCCGTTTGGCTCCTCTACTCCCCTGCTGCGGAAAGAACGAGTTTATAAAAATTTCAGAATATGACTCACTCTTGGTTCTGGCTGATAATAGTCTGACGTGTCGATCCCGGAAGCTGAAATGCGACGAGCAGAAGCCCCAATGCTCCCAATGCCGCAAGGCGTCGAGGGAGTGTCGTCCCAGCGAAGGCATTGTCTTCCGCCATCAGCAGAATGCCTCGATGAACAAGGACCTCGATGGCGCCGGTCTGAAGGGGTTCTATTCCTATAAGAACACCTTTGGCGACGACAATGTCTGGTTGGAGATCCCGAAACATGGTATGAAGCAAGAAGGAGCAACCCCGCAGTTCTCAGCTCAGCTCATATTACTGGAAGGAATCACCTTACTGACATGCTGTTCGGAATATAGTCATCTTCGTGGACAATTCTGATCCCTATGCCGAAGACCTCGAGGCGACTCTGGCCGCATCCGAGCCCGCCATCTCTACGTCTAACAATAATGATTGGAACATCCATGACGATTTTCGGACGTCCTCGATGGACGCTGAAGCTCATGGCTTGGTCGCTTTGTCTGCTGCCGCAACGCAGAACCGGTATGCCTTCCAGCATACACCAGGGGTTGATCATTCAGGCACAGCAGCAGACGGCGTCCCGTTCAGTCATCCAGAGCTTCCCACCTCCGTTCCTCCAATCCACTCGCCCAGCGAAACCCGCAATGCGATGCCTCCTCCCACCTCTCCCTCCGCGTCAATCACGTCCTCGAATAATAACATCAATTTCCTCCTCAACCCCTCCCATTCCATGTCACCTCCAATCGACCCTGGTCTGCCTACGCCGGTGGTCCGCAGAGAGTCTTCCTATGCTTCGGCGTCTGTGGCATCCCGCAGTGTAGCACCAGACTTGAGACAGGAAGTCCATGTAGAGACGGATCATGAAATTGCCTTTTTGCTTCGGCACTTTTCTGAAGCTCCCGGGTTGTGGTGAGTGATCCCTCTGTCATTTTTTGTCGACGGTCATGATTTTAATGTCTCTCAGGATGGATCTCTTCGATTTGGAGACCTACTTCGCATCCCATGTTCCAGTGAAGGCCCTCACAAATCCTCTGCTGAAGTATGCGGCATGCGCTTACGCCGCGAAACAACTGGGTCGAGTCAAGGGTGCCAAGGCCATCGTGGGCGGGGTGTGCTCGAAGCAGGCGTCCATGGAAGTCTGGCCCGATGCCGACAAGGTCGACTGGTATTGGTACGGTGCCAAGTATTACGAAAAAGCTATTCACCTTCTGATGAAGGAACTGCAACATGATGCCGAAGCCCCACCGCCGTTGAGCACTCCCGAGGCGTTTGGACAGTGGCAGGCTGTCGAACTATGTGAAGATGGGGAACATGCCCGCAAGAGACGGCGGCGCTTCTCCAATAGTAGACTGTCGGGTGCTCATTCGGACGAGGTGTTGGCGGCGACGGCCATTCTCTCCGTCTACGAATTCCTCGACGCCACCGGCCCAGCATGGAATCGTCATTTGAGCGGCGTCAAGTCTCTTCTGGATATTGCCGAAGTGGGTATGATGCCGCTGGAACAACAGACGTCGCCAGGCGGAACGCCTCTGCCACCAAAGCGACCGGCTCTATCGAAAGCACGAAAGGCTACCTTCTGGAACTTTGCTCGACAAGACTATCTAGCTGCTTGTGAGTATTCCTCACATCGATTCGAATGCCCAGTGATCACGCTTTGCTGATCTAGGTCTGTTAGTTATCAATGAGTGTCAGACAAGATTGAATACGGATGACCTCGTGTTGTGGACAGAAGCCGGTTTGCAGGTGGACAGCGCGGGGTTTGTCCGCCCCAGCAACACGGGTGAAGATGACGTGATGAAGGAAGACATGATTTCAAACGCCCTCATCTGGATCCTTTCCAAGATTGTAAATTTTATTGCTGCAGGGGACAACATTCACGTCGGTCCGAACAGCAACCCCATTGATGAGGGGCCTCTCGGGGTGAAGCAACAAGTATTGCTCGAGCGTTGGTATCGACTTCAGGCGGAACTGGATGCTTGGTATAATGGACTTCCTGATACTTTTCGGCCGTGTGCGAGGATCGAACCCTCTCGAGGGCCCCAGGATGCCAGTGATGCCGATGACTGTCCTTTCCCAGAGGTGTGGTACAGCATTCCCATGTGCGCGTCGACAATGCAGCACTACCACATGGCTCGGATCCTGCTCCTTATCAATAAGCCCCACGAGTCAACCGCCCGACGGACGACGGTGACCAACCGGCTCAAGTCCTATCGTTCGATTGAGAGCGAGATCCGATATCACAGCCAGGAAATCTGTGGGATCTCTATGTCTCGGCCCGATGGGTCGGTGAGGATTCATTCCCTTCAGCCATTGTTTGTCAGTGGCCAGTGCCTGACCGAGCCTCGGGAGCGGCGGACAATCATCCGACTCCTGCGAGGCATTGAGGCTGACCTCGGATGGGCCACCGAGTATCGTGTGAAGCAGCTTCTGAAAGAATGGGAATGGGACGAATCATATGACCTGATGGCTGGTTCCTGAACATTCTTGAACTGGAATCAACTTATAAGTCATCAACGTCGGCAAGATGCAGAGCATCCTGCCTTGGGGAATGTCGTACACCCACTTTAGATGCGGTTTCGGGTCAGACCTGGCAAGCTAGGTCGGGAGACAGATCTGTTTAATGCTAGGCGCATCGTAGTGCCCATCTTGAGGTTACAACACATGATGATATTGTGCCTGCGACAATCATACCTGCGAATGCGGCTGCAACGACACAAGTTGCTTTCAGATCTGTCAGCGTGGTCACGATCACTTCGATACTGACTCTGCTTGGCCTCGTCGGGTCTCGGAGGAATAGAGTAAAACGAATGAGTGGCTTGCCGCTTCGGAACGTAGCTGTCGCTCGAGGGAATGCAAGCGTCACGACTCGCTACCTCTCCTGCCGACTGCTTCGTGAACGAGGCAGAACCATATTGACTTGCGAGTCTCCTGGTTGTGCAGTCTCGTTTGGAAGTTTGTGAAGAGTAAGAAAAGAAAAATCTCACACTAGACCCCTGCCAAAAGTCACATTGCGAGCAGCTGACAGGTGCGCCTTCGCTTTCTGTCCGCTTTGTTTGGGTCTTAACTGTCACACCCGCAGGGCAAAATACCAGTGAGCTGGTCTCGTGCTGTGACGGGAGGTACTATTATAGAGATCAGCTCCCGTTATGCGTATTATTAGTAATATGAGAGAATAGATGGCGATCTGGTAGCCGGTGAGTGTCTAGGGACGTTGTAGTTAAGTAGCTGGTATCGTCTTGAACCATGTTTCAACTCCGTCAGGAATAGCAACAGTGGATAGAAATAGATAGATCGTTTGATCTGATCCATCGGAGATATTTTCCACCGCTCATTCTGTATATCCATTGGTACAAACGACGTAGCAAGGCACATAACCTACAGCTATCGCTGCGGGCATCGGACTAACCCCGAGCTTCCCCAACAGGAAGGTCTCCCGACGTCTTCCCCAGCTCTCTCGATGCGGCCCGCCCCCAGACTGCCACCATCTTGCTCTTCGAACAAATGGGCTCATGCCATGTATTTCCCCACGCGGCCATGGACCGCCTTTCTCCCCGGTGGAATTCCTCCGGGGGAAGGTCTGGCGGCGTGCATCCTTCGGTTGAGATGCCCGATTGTTGATGGGCTGCTGATCTGAAAGGAATGGATGGAGCTGAGCTGGAGACTACATATGAGCTGTGTGCGTCCTTTGCAAGTCCTTGATGGTCTTCTCCCTTGGACAACCAGGTGATGCCCTATTATTTGCCCATTGACTGCCACTGCCGCTAGGGAGGTGCTATCTGCAGACGCATCAAATCGCTATATCTCTCGCAAGATGTCGTCGTCACTCGACACCGACGTGCTCATCATCGGAGCCGGCATGTCAGGCATCGGCTTCGCCATCCAGCTGCAGAAGAAGTATCCCTGGGCAAGCTTCGAGATCGTCGAGAAGTCCGACGACCTGGGCGGCACGTGGTGGGCGAACACGTACCCCGGATGTGGCTGCGACGTGGCCTCGCACTTCTACTCGTACTCCTTCGCCCTCAAGCCGGACTGGACGAGGAAGTTCGCCCTCCAGCCCGAGATCGTGGCATACTTCCGCGATGTCGCCCAGCAGCACGACATCCCCCGACACATCTCGTTCCGGTCGACGGTCCAGAAGGCCGAGTTCGACGAGAGCACTGGTACGTGGCTGACCACCATCTTGGACCAGAAGACTGGCCAGGTCCGGCACAGACGCTCCCGGGTCCTGATTGCGGCCGTTGGTGCGCTTTCGGTGCCTAAGGGGTGTGAGATCAAGGGTGCAGAGCGGTACCAGGGGAGAATGTTCCATTCTGCTCAGTGGGATCATTCGTTTGACTGGACGGATAAGGATGTCGTTGTCATCGGTACGCTGACCTTACTTGATTGCGTCGAACGAGTCTAGTGACCTAACTGGTTCTCAGGCAATGGCTGCAGTGCTACTCAGTTCGTCCCCATCCTGTCCAACGGCACCAACGGCGACGCCTATCACGGCAAAGCAAGAGGCAAAGCCAGAAAAGTCGTCCAATTCAGCCGGCAGCCTCACTGGATCGCCGAGCGGCCCAACCCGGTGTACTCGCCGGCCTTCAAGTGGACGATGCGCTACGTGCCTCTGGCCATGCGTCTGTACCGATTCTACCTGTACGCGCTCATGGAGTACGACTTCTTCGGGTTCGACATTGCCAACGGCCGGAAGATCCGCGAGGCCCTGACGCGCGAGCGCATCGAGTACATGAAGCGCACGGCACCGGCGAAATACCACGCAGCGCTGACGCCGACGACAGAGATTGGGTGCAAACGCAAGGTCATGGACACGGATTACTATGCCTGTCTGCACAATGAGAACATGGAGCTCGTCCACGACGATCCCATCGAGGAGGTCACCGAGACTGGCGTGCGGACGAGGTCTGGTCGCGAAGTGTATGCGGATGCAATCATCCTTGCGAATGGGTTCCAGACTCAGCGAGTCCTGTACCCGCTTGATATCAGGGGAGAGGGGGGTGTATCCCTTACTGAGCATGTAAGACTTGACCCTTAAAATCCACCAGATTATCAAACTGACAAAAACAGTGGAATACATTCTCGTCCGGCGCAGCACAAGCTTACTACGGCACCTGCATCTCCTCGTTCCCGAACTTCTTCGTCATGATGGGCCCCAACACAGCGACGGGCCATCTGTCAGTCATCTATACGACCGAATGCCAGATCAACTTCACCTTGCGGGTTCTGAAACCGATCCTGCAGCCGTCATCACCGCTAGTATCGTTCTTAACCAGTCCGCTCAAGCATCTACTTTTCTACCCCGTCTCCGCCGCCGACACCGTCGCTGTGACGGCCGACGCCGAGCGACGTGACAACGACTGGATCCAGCGCGAATCCGCCCGTCTCGTCTGGGCCTCGGGCTGCACGAGCTGGTACATCGACCACACGGGCCGCAACACAATGCTCTACCCGGACTGGCAGTTCAAGTACTGGTTGCGGAGCATCTTCATCCCGCTGTCGCGCGACTTTGTCTTCCGGACGAGTCCGAAGAGGGTGGCTCCGCCTGCCCCTGCTGGTGGTCGTCGACGTCGTAGTCGAGAGGGTCTCTCTGCTGCAACGACTGCCGTGGCGACATTGACTTCAGGAGTAGGAGTGGCTATTGGTGTGGGCATCCTGCTCGGTGTCATCAAGGTGTCTGATATCGTCGACGGGGCAGATCGCCTGGCAGACCACCTGGCAGGACTGAAGAGCTGGGCGGTACAGGGAGTACGGAGCGTTGCTATATCAAGTCCAACAAGCTGGAAGGCTTGATTGTCGAGCGCTGGTAATCGTACCTACCTACAGCATATATATACACAGATCTACCTATCTACATGAATAAATAACGCTGATAAAATCCACATACGTAAACTTTGGAAGATTGATTGATTGTCCTTTCCATTAATGTATGAAAGAGAGGTAGAAATAAATAAATAAATAAATAAATAAATAAATAAATAAACGTTTCATAGGACAGCAAACAAGAGATCTACGCGAGCGCATCTCTTGTAAACTGTAAACCCTGCAGTCTTTCTCTTTCTCTCTTTCTTTCTTTCTTTCTTTTTCAAAGCGTTTATTTAATTAACTCGCGATAGAAATCCAACAAACTTTCTTTCCTGATTAATTACAATATCAAGGGGGGAAAAAATATAATAATAGGTAGGTAGGTACCTAAGGTAGGTAAGTTTCATTTACCCCGTATTTTTAGGGTTGGACTTGGTCTGGCTTGATCTGGCGATAGGTACGGAGTCATGACGCATTATCCGAGTAATGTAATCTTGATCAATCAATTACAATCAATCAGACAATATGGAAAATGGAACTAACCGGACAAGAATACCGACGACTATCTAGACGATGTTTTGTTTTTTTTTTCTCATCTGAGACTTTCATCGATGAGGCTGACGTAAGACACAGACAAACACTATTGACAACAGACTTTTGTCTGGAAAGGTCAGTCAGTTACAATGGTGGATCTGGCAAGCAAGGAAATTGAACTTTATTTGCAGCACTTCCGGTCTCGTAACTCGCGCTTTGCATGTAGCGATTGCTTGCTTGCTTGCTTGCGTGCTCTCTTCTTTTACTTATTTATTTATCTGTGAATTGAATGAATGGGGTTTGTTACCATTTAGTCGTGTCATTGTGGATGGATGAGAAAAAGTACCTGAAGAAAGAATGGTATACTTACGCGATCTCGTTGAGCCTGGTGGTTCGTAAAAATAATAACACCTGATAAATTTCAATCCTCCCTAACTGATCTCTGCAGCTGTTATTATCGTCTTCGTTATCGGTACTTTGGCCAATAGGCGCAGGACCTGGAAATCGTCAGGGCCGGTTGGCGATGTCGAGGCGCCTGCTATACCGCCAGAAAGCGAGGAAGAAGTCAAGAAGGTTGAGTTCGGGAGGACCAGTCTGACTGTCAGCCATGAAGCGTGTGATGTCCGTCCGCGGAGGTGGAATAATTTACATTCTCGCCTCCTGGCGAGGTTTCCCTTCCTCATTGAGATCTGGTACTGGCTCATAACTTACTGGGTATGGATGTCTAGTGGAGTTGCTGTATATCAGCTGAGCTCTCACTGACGTTATACGACAGTCCTACCAAGGCCTGCGGGCTTTCTCCGCCAAAGCCATCGCCGGCAACGACGCCGTCTTCGACGCCGCTTACACCCACGCCTTCGAGATCCTCTCCGTTGAGCGAATCCTTCATCTCGACATCGAGCTGTGGACGCAGCGCTTCGTCCTGTAGCACATTCCCTGGCTACTGGCCCCGCTGGCCAGAGTGTACTACTCGCACATTGTCCTCGGCGTCGCTTTCCTGGTGTACTGGCACTGCTATCTCCCGCGCGGGCAGTACACCGTCATCCGCCGCACGATCGCCGTCGAGAACGTGCTCGCCTTTGTCATCCTCACGCTGTGGCGCTGCGCCCCGCCGCGGCTTCTTCCCTCCGTCCTCCCCGAAGGGGCAGACGAGGGCGGAGAGTTCGGCTTTATTGACGTCCTGGCAGAGATGAGCGGCGGCGCAAAGACCGCCTGGAGCGAGAACGGCTACCGTCTGACCATTGCCGCGATGCTGTCGCTGCACTTTGCCAATTCCCTGCTCGCGGGCTACTGCTTCTACAGATTCAGTCCGCACGCGGTCCTGCGAGCCCTGGCGCCGCTGTGACCTGTCGTGATGGCGCTGACGGTTCTGGCTACCGCCAACCATTACGTCCTGGATCTCATCATTGGCGCTTGTGTGCTTTGGGTAGCCTCTCCGTTTAACCGCGCTGTGTTGGTGCTGCTTCCCCTGGAGGATTCCTTTTTTTCAGCTGATCAGGCTGGAGAAGCCCGAGGATGATGATTAAGACGGGAGTACGACAGCGGAATTCCCGTTGATAGTATGTCTGCGTGTCCGTCAGGGTGACCTTTGGTTGGCATTTGTAGGTTGCACGCCAAGTCGGACCACATCTGTAGTCGTGTATGTAGTAAGTAGTCAACTGATATCAGTTGGTTATCCTAGATCGGACTCCATTTGAACCCTAATAGGATTGGATCTCAAGATACTCTCCGACGAGATAGTACGTCCCCACGGTCGTTCCAAGTCTCACCAAAATACGAAGCTGGCAACCCCGCAACCAAGCCAACATGACGAGACAAGGCCTAGAGCAAGCCTAGCGCAACAATTCGGGTCAGTTTGGTATAGCAGAACTAACCAAAACCAATACGATCGACGTCCTGACATCTCTGTGCGGAGAAGCCGGTCTAGACGATTCCATGTGTGATATTGTCGACTGTCACAATGTCTGCATCTATTCGATACTTCGCAAAGTAAGCTTCTCCTGTCGATAAAATTCGATCTTCCAGACTCAATCGCGTGAAGACTGAAGAATAGGCGTGTGAAGAAATGTAGATGCATGCAGGTCACAGATCACGCGAGGAGGGGTGGTCTTCATAGTCTTTCTGTCTAAACTAGTGTTAGTTTTCTTGCGCACTCGATATGAGATTGCTACCAACCTCCTCGATCTGCTTAGCGTCCATCCTGGTTGGCTGAAGACTGCAGGTGCATAAGCATCATGTCTGCATCCGTCATCATTATTGGGCGGTCACCTGCGAGGCATGGGATGTGATGTGAGTGCATCTCGAGGGCGCTTCGCGATGTGTGCTGGCGGAGGTGATTGGATAGCCTGCTGCGATCTGCCGTGGGCGAACAGCAGCGATCGCAGCTCCTGCAGACGAGGCTGGCAGATGCTTGTCCACTGGTTGTCGACCCCGCTCGCGCTGCTGCTCTCGGCCTGTCTATATATAGCCGCCCACCTCTCGCCACGTCCGCCTGTTTGTCTCCTTGCAACACCGTCTGTTTCAGCAATTTCTATTTTTCTCTTTTTTCTTTTCCTCTTTTTCTTTTTCTATTTTCGTCTGCTTCTAATCATAGATTGGCTGGTCCAATCGACTTCACTCTTGTCCTGCACCCGTCAAAAACAAAACAGTACAAATCCATCTGCTCTTCTGGGAAATCTTTGTTGACCAAAGCATTTCCCTCTCTTCTGCGTGATATACATCAGACACACTTCTTTCTTCGCTGGTGGAAGGAGCAGCTTTCTCGTCAATTGTCTTTCGAAAATGTACGCCGCACGAGCTGCCAGGCCCAAGCTCTCTCTGAGCATCTCTGCCGTCCAAGGCGCCTCCCAGTCGCTCCGCTCTCCTGGCCTGGCGAGCGCCATGCCCCGGACGCCTGTGTCGCCGTCTCCCATGAGCCCAGCCAACTCGCGCGAGTATGCGACGCTGCAGCCAAGCTACTCGTACACCAACTCCAGTTCTGCCAAGGGCATCCTCAAGAAGCACTCCCAGCAGAGCTCCTCCACGGGCGCCTCCAAGAAGATCCAGTTCCAGAACACGCCCACGGTGTACTGCGTCACGCCGATTGAGAACAAGGACGAGTACTACGGCGGCTATGTGAAGATGTCGCGCGACGAGCGACGATGGGCGATGCATACATGATGAGTTCGCCTCAATATCAGCAACGAACCAGGGACATGAGCAAAGTTTTACCAACGCGACGCCCCGGTCGCCGGGCCGGTCCGGCTCCGATCGCTCTCTTCAGCAGGTCACCCAGTCGTTGATGGGAAGCTATTCGACTGGAAGAGAGTGATTCGGACTGACCTGTCAGGACACAAGACATCACCTGGAGCGATGAAGAGGAGAAAATGGAAAATGCCCAGAGTGGTGGATCGCGTTCTTTCGCCAAGAGGAGGAGTGTAACAACAAGACAACCGCCATGTATATAAACGCAGCTGATGGATATATTATGACTGATGAGTTATGAATTATTTTTATGATTTCTACTTATGATTGAGAATCCCTTTTCTGCTAGTAGCAGTACAACGTAGGACAAGCCAGGACGAGACAATCTAGTCCAAACTACACATCAATGAATCAAAACTTATCTACTTATTCTGAGTAACCATGCAGCATGCAAGTATCACAATCACCCTGCATCAGAAACCTGCTAGCACCCTGACTCCTTTTCTATCTCGATTTACTTCAGCTCTACAGCAGTCTTTAACGTGGGACAGGCTAAATATGTAGCTACGATATAGTCCATAGGGTTGTATATTAAGGATATACGGAGCGTACTTATTTTTACGTGATTCTTGCATATTGACCATTTTTCCTAACAATTTGAATTGCGAGTATTTCTTAATGATGCCTCCTTAAGGAATCCCAGTGGCAAATCTACACCGCAGCAGCTTCCCTTCCTGCCAGCCGACCATCTACGGCAGCGATACGCTGCCACGTGTAACCTTCGTCCATCCGTGGTTTCCTTATAGGTCAACTCCCGAGTTCAGCTGGACAGATTGACTTCATGGGACACGAATTGTGTGCTGCGGCTATCTGCTTTTCTTTTCTAATTCCCAGACAATATTACTGTTCGAGCTCTGATTATCCCATTCATCTAACAGAATGAGGAAGTTTCGCGATAGATTCATAAGGCACAAATCCAAGCCTATACAGAGTCCGTCTGTTGCGGCTGAAGAGGAGGATGGATCTAGAAATCACTCACCGGTATGTGGATGTGCTCAATCTCGTCCTGGTCAGCATTGTTGGCTGTTTACCAGGTACGTTCATCGTCTCTAGCTGACGGCTCGCAGACACCTTCCCGTCATTCCCATTCAGCAGACTCGTCCACTGATAGAGACGGCTCTACGCCTCCGAGAGTCGCCCAGCAATTTAAAGAGGAAGATGGGACGAAAAACTTCTGGAAGCTGGCATACAACGCTCTCCTCCAGGACAAACACAAGCGGGAACACATGGACACTTATGAGAATGCGATTCTCAAGCCTCGACGCTCAGGGACACGAATCTGCTGGTCTCAGCATGGCCGAACGCCAGAAACATATGTCCCAGGTTGCAGAGAAGAATCTTAAAAAAGCCCCCATCTGGGGTTTCACCGAGAAAGTCACCAAATCGCTTCTTTTCGCAAAAGACTTCATATCTGCCGCTGCCAGCGCGAATCCACATATCGGCCTGGCTTGGGCTGGGGTATGCGTCCTTCTGCCGGTACGTGCGTTCCGGATCCTCACACACCATGTGGACGTGTAATCTACCTAGATCCATATCATCTATCGAGAGCATCTTATGGACTTTGGTGACAGTTAACTTACGCAGTTACTTTTAAATCCGGTAGAACAACCTAACTCTCTCAAAGAAGGTGTTGAGTATATTTTCGATTTGACATGCCGTTTCACCGTTGTCGAACGTGTCTATCAACAGCAGAATGACGCAGCAAGTCATGCCTCTCATGATGATGCTCGCTTGAATCTGATCAGGAACTTTGAAGCTAAGATCACGCAGCTATTACTCTCAAATTCTTGAGTATGAAGCTCGAGCCGTGTGCTACTGCCGGCGCCTCTCTCTATATCTCGGACTTTAAGGGATCTCGTCAAGAGGGATGCCTGGGATTCGTTGTTGACGGATATCAAGCGATCTGAATCAGCTTGTAAGGCTTCAACCGACGTCATTGACGCTGAGAAACTTCATAGCGGCTTCAAGGAGCAACACCGTCGCATGGATGAGCTGTTCGACGTTCTTCGCTCCCAGCAGAAGGATTTCGGGACGGCTCTCCGCTATGGAAAAAAAGACACTCAGTGCGGTCGAATCTAGCAGAGAAGAGCAGAGAAAATGGCACCTGACCAAGGAGGAGACCGCTTGCCTGAAGGCTCTCCGAACGTCGGCTTATGAAGAGCACAAAGCTAGGAATCCCAATCGAGTGGAAGGGATCTTCTGCACCCGAAATTTCGTGCCTGGAAAGAGAGCCAGACTTCCGACCTGCTCTGGCTATCCGCAGACCCAGGGTGTGGAAAATCTGTACTCTCAAAATCTCTTATTGACAATGAGCTGCGAAGCACAGAGTCACGAACTACATGCTACTTCTTCTTCAAAGACGACGACACTCAGCAAAAGAGTGTGAGGTCATGCCATGTGTGCTTTGCTGCACCAACTTTGTTCTCAGACAAAGGAATTGCTTGAACATGTCATTCCGGACTTCAGAAGGAACGGCGAACCTTGAGGCTGCCAATGATCCGCGAGCAGGAGAAGTCATATGCATCTTGGATGCCTTCGACGAATGTGAACCGTCTGAACGAGACAAGCTTATTGATGCATTGAGCGGATTTTACACTGCGCGGAGGACCAATGGAGGAAAATGATTGCAAACTGAAATTCCTTGTGACCAGCCGACCTTACTTTGACATAAAGCGAAGGTTCTTCGACCTGACATGCCATTTCCCGACTGTTCGGCTTGCAGGTGAAGAAGAAAGCGAAGCAATCAGTCTCGAGATTGAACGTGTCATCGAGGTAGAAGTCGAACGGATCGGGCAACGGCTGTGGTCTGATGCACCGAACCAAAAGCATTTGAAGGAGTATTTGAAGGAGCAGCTCTTGAAATTTACCAATCAAACATACCTATGGGTGAAATTAATGTTCGATTTCATTTCCAGCAGCGCGGAGGTCTCTAACCAGCAAGAAATCAAACAACTCATCGACTCAATACCCACAACGCTAGAAGAGGCCTACGAAGCAATTCTGAAGAAGAGTCCGAATATCAACCGCGCACGGAAACTCCTTCATATCATTGTCGCCGCCACCAGACCGTTGAGCGTGAAGGAGATGAATGTGGCGCTTAACATCGAGGAAGGCCGTACAGCGTTGGAAGAAGATGTTGATGTCGATTCAGAAGAAAATTTGGAAGAAAAGATGAGAAACATCTATGGGCTTCTCGCGAGGGAGAGGAACGTGTTGCTTGGCATTGAGAAAGCGTTGGAAGATGCTGACGTCGAATCAGAAAAACGTGTGGAAGAAAAGATAAGAAACATCTGCGGGCTTTTCGTGAACATCGTAGAGTCCAGGGTCTATTTGATTCATCAAACAGCAAAGGAGTTTCTGATAGCGTAGTCGACCATCTCTGAGAGTGCGGATCACTCGACATCTGGCAGCTTGTCTACACAAGTCTGGCAGCATTCGCTAAGACAAGAAGAGTCGAATTTCGTTCTCGCGAAGGCTTGTATCTTCTATCTCCTGTCCCTGGCCATTGAAAAGGACCCTTTTGCCTGGTACATGGTCTTTCGACGGCGCTTTGGAGGGACTTGTCTTGGAACTTATACAAAAAAGCACGTTTTTGTAGAATATGCGGCCGACAATTGGGCTGTTCATTTTCGAAAAGCTGCACTCACGAACGATATCAAAACTGTTAAGTCAGCGCGGGAACTTTGTGATCCACGAACCCGGCACTTCTGGACTTTGTTCCACATATATTATTTGCTTAATTCCCTTGGCCTCAACGACGACCTGCCTTCAAAGGGCCTTTCCGATCTCTTGATAGGATCACGTTTTAGACTCGAGTCCGTGGTACGGACGATACTTGAAGAAAAAGTTGACCCGAACTCCAAGGATGAATATGGCGAGTTCCCCCTCTCCTCGGCCGCGTCAGAAGGGCATGATAAAGTAGTCAAACTTCTACTTGCGAATGGGGCAAACATCGAAACGAGAAACCGGAATGGACATACGGCGTTGCACGTGGCAGCGAAGAATGGACACGAAATGGTCGTACAATTGCTTCTTGATGAAGGGGCCCATACCAATGCGACAGATAATGACGGACAGACGGCATTGCACATCGCGGCGGGCAGCGGCTACGAGGCAATTGCGCGACTGCTTATCGAAAAAGGAGCAAAGGTGAATCAAAAAAAAAAAACTTCTGTGGACAGTCGTCGCTGTACCTGGCAGCGGAACATAATCATGAGGCAGTGGTTCGACTCCTCCTGGAGTACAAGGCAGATGCCAATGCCCAGGACATTTACGGACGGACCCCTCTGCATGTCGCCTTGTGTAGATGCAGCAGCGAGCCAGTAGTACGGATGCTTCTCGAGAGGGGAGCTGACCCAAATATCAAGTATAAATATGGGAAGACAGCGCTGATTGTCCTGCTCGATGACTTCGGCTGGAGCCGACGGAATGGGAAGCATGAATTTAAAAATAATATCGAAATGCTATTACTGCTTCTTTTGAGATATGGAGCAGATGTCAACGCTCAAGAGCATTCAGGTTCGACGGCACTGCATTGGTCGATATGGCACGAGAGGGAGGTCTGTACGAGGCTGCTTCTTGACAATGGAGCGGACATTATGGCGCATGGGAAAAATAGAAAGCCACTGTTATGGGAAACATTCGATTATGGGAACGAAACAATGGCGAGACTGCTGCTTGACAAGGGAGCAGACCCTAATACAAGGGCACGTAGATTGACAACGATGGGCTACGCCGCGAAGAGAGGCTACGAGAGGATGGTAGAATTGCTGCTGGAGCGGGATGACATTCCGGCGGATCTCAAAGATGATTATGGTCGAACGCCGCTGTCTTACGCCGCAGAGGGAGGCCACGAAGCAATTGTGGAACTTCTGCTTAAATGCGATAATATTATGGTGGAGTGAAGGTGCTGAGGGCCGAACTCCACTATGGTGGGCGACCGCAAGTGGCCATGAAGATGTCTCAGTGTGGCCCGAAGAGTGAGGTGGCATAAAGATGCTTCTCTGCATATTGCCTTGGATGGATGCAGCAGCAAGCCAGTAAGTAGTACGGATGCTTCTCAAGCGGGGAGCTGAGGCAACTATCAAGCATGAATATGGGAAGACGGCGCTGATTGAACCTGCTCAGGGCACATTCTTCTAAAGCTGTCAACCTGGGCAGCTATGCTATCATTCACACTAGGGGTTCACTAGATATCCTAGGTTTTTCTTTGGTGTCCCAGTAGGTTTGACGAAAGCTTTTGCACTATAACCCGAGGCATGGTAACAGCTCCGTACTTGACCTTGTTACTTGAAATAAAAAAGACCATCATCAGTGGACAATCAAACTTCGAGAACCTCCGGGAGGGGAGATGTAAAATGGTTTCTTCTCATCTCACCCGCTGGCTCCTTCTGCTTTTGCTTCTGCTTCCGTCATTTCTTGTGCACGAGAACTGGTTTAAAAAAAAGATATAGGAACAGAAATGCAGGTCAAGATTATGTAGTGTAAATCGGCGACAGTGTCAGGTACTTGTAATCTTGTACCTTAGCTTATCTTATCTCCGGGCTGTTGGCGGAGCGTACGGAGTACAAGTCCTGGTTTTTCTTTTCTCCGCGCCGCGCCGCGCCGTGGAGAGAGCAGGATTCCGGAGGATTATCATCCAATACAACCAATACAATTCACTTTCTTTGGCATGTTTCCTTTTATTATTACTATTATTCTTTCCTGTTGTTATTATTATTATTATTAATATTAATTTCCTCCGCGCAGCAAGCAAGCAGCTGAGCTGCTATTTTCAAATACTTGCCAATGCTGAAGAATCTCGGGGTAATAATAGCTGCGAGGAAGACGACGGCGGCGGCGGCGGCAGCCCTGCGCGGTTTGTTATTTCGTCGCTCTGGTAGTGGTGTTGTCGCGACCATCCCCTGTCGAGGTCTGCTTACGTTTGCTATTGAGACGTCTTGGTAAGATGCTATCGAATCGGTTGGACATAGTTGTCTAGTTTCTATGATACAGTACTAACCGATTGACCTGCTCGAGAATAGTGATGACACTTCGGTAGCGATCGTGGAAGAACATGCCAATGCCCTCCCCTCCTCCTCCTCACGGAAGCCTGCCGCCGCAACAATCCACTTTCTTGAGAACATCACTGCCGACACGAGGCAGTACCGCGGAATCCACCCAATTGAAGCGCTTCAGTCGCATCAGAAGAACCTCGCGAAGCTGGTCGACAAAGCTCTGAAACACCTTCCAACAGAATCGCCGGAAAATGAGACTGCAGCGAACAAAAATCCTAATGCGCGAGGCGTCGGAAGACGTCGTCTGCCGGATTTTGTTGCCGCCACGAGAGGTCCAGGAATGCGGTCGAATCTCTCTGTCGGCCTGGATACGGCCAAGGGGCTTTCTGTGGCATGGCAGATCCCGTTCGTAGGAGTCCATCACATGCAGGCGCATCTGTTAACCCCCCGACTGGTGTCCGCTTTGAAGGCGGAGAAGAGCCCAGAACATGACATGGCAGCGACACCGGCACCGCTGCAGCCCGACTTCCCGTTTCTCTCCATCCTCGTCTCGGGCGGTCATTCGATGCTGGTCAAATCCAAATCGGTCACCGATCACGAGATCTTGGCAACAACGGCGGACATCGCAATGGGCGAAACACTCGACAAGTCGGCGCGGCTGATCCTTCCCGAATCGCTCCTGCAGACTGCAAAGAATACAATGTATGGAAAAATGCTGGAGCAGTTTGCGTTCCCCGATGGCGCTAGGGACTATGCCGATTACCGGCCGCCGATGACCCGTGGTGAGGAGCAGATCAAGCGCGAGAGCCCCTGGGGATGGTCCATCACTACTCCGTTTGCGAATACCCGTCAGCTGCAGTTAAGCTTCTCCTGTGTCTCCAGTACAATAACTCATATCACGTCGAAGAAGGCACAGAATGGACAGGCGATATCCCACGATGAACGAGTAGCTCTTGCGCGGGAGGCGATGCGCGTGTGCTTCGAGCACCTTGCATCCCGGACCATCATCGCACTGGAAGCTGAGAGACAAAAGAGCTCGGGCAAAGAAGAGAAGATCAAAACTCTGGTCGTTAGTGGCGGCGTTGCTGCCAACCAATTCCTGATGACGGTACTTCGCTCGTTCTTGGATATTCGTGGATTCCAGCATGTCGAGATAATCGCGCCACCACCCTACCTGTGCACAGATAATGCCGCTATGATTGGATGGGCTGGGATCGAAATGTTTGAAGCAGGATGGTCCACCGACCTTAGTGCCCGGGCGCTAAGAAAATGGAGTCTCGATCCGCAGTCGGACGACGGCGGGGTCTTGGGACCTGACGGTTGGATAAGGAATAAAAGCGCGAGTGAAAGTACAGCATAAAAAGAGAAAATAAAAAGAAAGGCAAAGAATAGAAAAAAGAAAATGTGTACTGTACATTAGTGATACCCCATAGATAAATCAGATTTGAATAGACGTCGTGACACTCTTATTTCAACATCAAATATAGATAGACACAAGTTTATTAACCAGGAAAAGGAAAAAAAAGTCCCGAAACCGTGCAGGACCAACTCATACATTGAATAATAAAGGGGAAGACTCCATGCAGCCAGATGCTTGGACACAGGAGGAAGTGGAGAGAAAGAGAAAGACGAAAGACGAAAGAAACGAAAACCCAATCCATACTCCCTTGTGTTCCCCCCAAATCCGTTACATCATCTCGTAAATCATAAGACGTACAGCACATATATCATGCATCCCGAAAAAAAAATGTAAAAGACGGACATGGCCATAGTCGTGATGGCAGGAAATATAAAGGAAATAAGGGAAAAAGGAAACCGTGCTCGTATATCATCATCAACATATTCCGTAATTCCAACCATAATGACCATGAATGCGCCCCTAACAAGAAGAATGTACCAGGATGGAAATAGAGACTCTAATATTAAAAAATATTGACAAGTCAAGGTGACTGTTACCACCTTCAATCTTCTGCGACTTCTGCGAGAATGTCTTTCAGACCGATCTTCATCCTGTCCGTCCTACCTTGACTGGCAAGGTCCGAGGACGGATCACTGCGGGAGGTCTCATCAGAAGTAGTACCTTTCTTGGGAGGATCTCCCTTGCAGGAGCGGCTGGCAACGAGTAAAGACCTGAGGCCCTTGTCAAAGCACTGCAGAGATCATCGATTAGCATAATTGTCTTTTTTTGTAGGCTGTAAGCCCCTTTCGTCGGCGCAGGGTTCAGACTTACCACTTTCTCGACATCCTGCCACTTCTCGCCCATGGCATCGGCCAGAGGTTTCCAGGTCTGCTCTCGCAGCTGGCAGTATTCCCTGCTGAGCCTCTCGAGCTTCTCGGGGTCCCAGTCGGGCCCTCGTTTCTTCGCGACAAGCCGCTCGTACCGTTTCCGGCACGCGTTGGGCGTCTTGAGCGGGAAATGCTCCTTCTGAATCTGACTCCACCCATGGCTTCGAGCACGGGCATTCATGAGGATGTTGTCGTCATGAGTAGACCAGGATGTCGAATAATTACTACTAGCTGTCCCAGGAGCACCGAGCGTGGATCGAGTGCGGCGCTGCATATGGACTGTGGTGCTAACAGAGAAAGACAGTTGACCCGGTAGAACAGAAGTCACTCCCAGGCGACGGTTGTGATCAGCACCTGTCGTGCCTTGTGAGTCGGATCCTGTGGTTGATTTGGTCTGCCAGACATGGAGCCCTTTGCTGTTCCCGAGAGATCACGATCTTGGCCTCGAAGGCTCAGAGATTGCGTGCTTCCGTAATATGGACGAGATAGATACCTCATATGGTCATGTAGTTGAGGCAATGGATGAAACGAGGATGTTTTGATACTAGCTTTCCCAAGAGCGACGCGTCTCAACAACACAAACGACAATTGTTGCGCCGAGCCATCGGAAAGAGTCTGATGAAGAAAGAAACAGAAAGGTTCTGGAGGCCCTCGAGAAGACGCTACCCCAATATGCGGTGGGTGTTATGCCGTTCAACTCCTTGCAGGAGGTATCATGACACCATTCGAGCGCGAAGAGGGTTATCAGATTCGATTAAGTTTCGGAAGGACACTGCAAAGGCTTTTATAAAAAAGCAGGTCAGCAGGAGAGAACGGCGAAGAGGGCCAGAGGGCTGTGACACGTTCTTGGACCTTCAGGAAACTCTGGCATCTCCCCACAGCCCACATCCCCCCCCTCCATCGGGACCAGCTGCTCGAAAATTGCGTGCAGGGAAGGCACATCGCGGTCCACCAGGCGTCGGCAGGCGGCCGGCACTCCAGATGGAGCGCGATGCAGGCACACTCGACTGTTGGAGAGCTAGCCGCATGAGGACACAGCGGCTGTCGAAGAAGCTGATGATCCTGAAACGATGGTTTTGAGAGAGCTCATGCCGAAACGGGAAGCAAAGCTGGAACTAAAATGCCACTTGGGCCAATTGCTGGCGCGCGAATCTCCAGGAGAGCCGCGCGAACGTTGGAGGGGGCTGGCCGTCGGTGCAGGCCTCATAGGCCGCGACAGCCACAGATCCACAAGCTGAGGCGCTGAGAGGGCTTGGGGGGCCACACGCATCGTCGATCAAGGGTTGACGAAAGACGATCGAGGGGTCCGTGGGGTCGGCAGGTACAGCGAGCTAAAGTTAGCCGTTTCTATTATTATTCGCGTCCATGCGCAGCTTATCCGCACATCTCCCGAAGCACCAAATCCATCTCCGTGCAATGCCGGCCTGACCTTGGGGTTTTGGTGCCTGAGCGAACGGATTAAGTGTCCCTCAATCGAGGAAGACTACATTGCGCAGCCACACAGCTACATTCGCCGGTAGATAGTAGATCATGCTATCTCACCGACGGAGAAATGCTTTAGTCAACTTCTACGGAGTACTCAGTGTCGACGACGATGCTGCAGCCGATGCTGACACACATTCAGCCCTGGCCCCTGGTCGACATGCAAATATTTTGGCGTTTTTTTCCCCCCCTCTCTTTCCATAGCCCGTGAAAAGCATGTGTTTCCATTGTCGATTACTAATTTCCTGAGGCCAGAGGATGACCTCCAGGTTCCGCGCTGAATTTGGCGTCTGTGGTGGGCCGGAGAGGCGCAGGCCTCTTAGCGCCGTATTCAAAATACTCTAAGACTACGTCTGTCAGTTATTAGACCGCTCTGTAGGCGAGGTCGCCGGAAGGTCTCCAAGACATGCTTCCCGTTGACGTGTCAGAATCCAGAGATTCATGTCGGTAGAGTTTAGTGTGTTTTCCTAAGCAGGAAAAAAGAAAGAAACCCGTTTCTTTGTACTCTATATATAGGCCGCCTACGTGTGTGGCTGCCAAAGAAACCCTAATCCGATTGACGAATGATAGCGGCCATACTGCCGGACGAACCGTCTGCCCCGGATTTTGCGAAGTATTTGCGGATAAATCTACCGGGGACGTAAGCACAGACAGACCCCATCTACAGACATCAACTGAGCAAATGACTAATTACAATCAATAGCAGGCAACAACAGGAAGGGCTGCTTCACTTACTGCATCTACATTTTCTGCAGGTCCAGCCCCGGCATTATCACGTTTGCAGCACCGGTAGATATACTACTACTATACCTGTCATCGTGCAGGTGGGGCGACGTCTTCCCAGAGAGGAAAAAAATAACCTAGGTCTGGCCGCGTGGCCGCCTCTTGTATGTGCTGTAGTTAAAACGATGGTAGGATTGACTTCCCTGCATCCATGGCGCTTAATCACGAGAGATGATTCGCAGAGCCAATGTAATAATATGGCAATCGTTTTTTTAAAAAAAAAAATCATGAGTCGGTGGTCAGCCAAGTTCCGTCCCGAGTTTCAATCGCAGGACCAGCTGGATGCCTGTGCCACCCAACCGGATGGATCCCCCCGGCTCCATACGGACGCTAGTTCCTTAGCCGCGCCATGTGGACCTAAAAATATCTCCATGCTCTCTTGCTTACTCTGCTTCTGTACAGAACCGAACTCTTGACCGAGATTCCGCCTGAGGCGTAGTCCATCCGTCCTCACGGCGTGTACATACTTAGTACATACATACATTTTTTTTGTCCTTCAGGTGGCCAAACTGAGACATGCGCATGGAGTATATCAGCCAGCGGTCACATCACAAAAATATCTACAATACATCCATAGATGACGGTGGCCTGCTCGAATCAGGGCATTGATCAGGCGAAGCAAACTGAACGCCTATATAAATAGACCGCAATTGGTGCATTATTTTTAGAATATGTCTTCACCATACTGTATGGCCATGTCTCAGATTAGGATGGGAGGGAAAAAAAGTGTAGACTGGACTCTTCGGTTCGTATTGCACATGCCGAATACAGTATTAGGTATCTTGAATTTGTTATCTGTAGATTGATTACCTAAGTATGTTAGAGAAGGGTGTTTATACCCCAGTGAGGAACAGCACGGACAGAGGAAAAGGGACGAAAAAATCACAGGTCCTTCGTGAACTTTATCCCAGTCGCAGATCGTCTTTCGGTACCTACCTAGGTAATTGATAAGTGGTTGGTGGAGAAGACCTAATACAATATAACTTTAAGGACCTTCCTGCCTACCTAGTAATACCTGAGATAAGGTTCCTTCTCCACCAGGAATAATAATCAACACTATCCGGGATCAGGCCGCCCAGGTGTGCACGTATCGGAGAATTAATTCTAACCGTCTTAACTTTAAGTTTCTTTGCAAGTAAACTAACTCTAGCACAGTATTTGGGGTTGAATTAGTTACTGTGATTCAGGAACATGATACACGCAACTCAGGGCAAATAAAAAATAGGTAGTTTATCCTACGGAATAAATGTTGATGAGTTCTTTTACAATGATCATATGGACGAAGAGCAGCGGATTTGACGTGGGAATACCATTTCAAAGTCGTGAGTATTGGGTACCATGATATCTAGTGTTGGCGCCAACAATCAAAACGCCGGATCTCACTGGACTATCGTTACGCACGTCCCCCAGTCAGCCTTGTCCCCACAAACTTTGAAGTGTTCTCCGTAAATCATCATTGACTATCTCTCGGCTCTAGCCTGCTAGACCCCAGATCAAGTCATAAACCCCGCAAAGCAGTCGCCACCGATACTCCGTACTCCCGTCCTCATAGTCGGTATCCCGTTATCCGCTAGATTCAGCCACCCGGTATGCTTCCACCCTGCTGCAAGGCTGACACCTGCTTTCGGAGCTCGAGGAAGAAATCCTTCCCATTCGCCATCGTATTCGCTGCAAACCTGTCAAACAACTGTCCGCGATCACTGGAAGGGTAAGGGTTGGCATACGCTTGGACGCCCAAGGCCCGCTAGCCCGAGAATTAGTCGGCTCTTTGGTAGTCGGTTTGTATATCGCCGGCTTGGGCTCTAATAGCATTTTTTTTATCAGTTTACCAGTAATTACATCAATAAGGACAAGCTTAGGTTGGGTGGGCAGCGAACGTACCTGATGGATCTGAGTGTCAAGCCTCCAAGTCAATAGACTGATAACCTAAATCAAACGGAACAAAACAAACAAACCATACCTCTCTTGAGAGCATTCTTAGACTCCGTCGCATTGAAGCCTCTCACAGGAACGTGCTGCTCCTGTGGCGGACCAGCCGGGACCTGCTGCTCACGAGGACCTCCCCAAGCATTGGATGGATTCGAGCTGTGGCCGCCACGAGATCCTCCCTGAGAACCCATCGTTCTGCCCAAAGCAGGATTCCTCTGCGCCGGCTGCCGATTCTGCTCGTATGGCCGGCCGCCGCGCCATCTGCTTATGGAATGTTGCCGTTAGTACCCAAGCATAGAGAACGACCAAAGTTCCGGAGCAAGTGGCACTTGAAACACAGCGAAAAGAGGCAAATGTGCAAATAAAAATGGCAAAACTCACCGGTCGTCGCCAGGTCCGCTCATACTGGAAGCGTGTTCCTCTCAGGCACACGAGCTGGCAGGTGAAAGAGACCTCAGATGCCCCGTGGAGCTCGGCGCGTGCCTTCGGAGCTCCAGCGGCAATCTCAGCTTGGCGGCCCCGGTGAGTTGCCCGCCCCGCGCCATACCCAGACAGGCTAGCGCAATTCACCCCGAGAGCGAGACTCAGCCGGCGATGCGGACGTCGCCTCGTCTCGCGTTCAGCAGGGGCTTGATGCGAATCGGCTGCTCTCTACTGTCAGTTGCGTCTCACTATTCTTCGCTCGTTTGGCAGCATCGAGTCATGTCTGTTTCTACTCATTTTCATCTTTGCTTTGCTGTTCATCGCCTTCTAGCCACCCTCTCCACGTGATCGATATACCCCTGTTAAGGTTGACAGAACATTCTTAAGACGCCGAGGCAGTCAGGAAGGACTGCACGGCGCATTTTCGGATCAGCATACGCAGAGATGGCTCCCTTATCGACGAGACGGACTTCCACCACTCGTTCTATGGCATCACTGAGGAGCTCGCGAAGCAGCGACCCAGATTCAACGGAGGAACCTCCGGCTAAGAGGCGAAAGTACGTTCCGGGAGGCCCTGGAGGAGGTGGCAGATATGTCGAGGTGGAAAAGAAACAACAGGGACCTACTGCGGAATCGAGTCCAGGAGGCCAGAGCTACTCTGCACCCCGTCCACGACGCGAAACCACAATCAACGCCACCCAGCCTCCTCCGATAACACCTCCTTCAACTCGTCCAAGAAGGGACCGGACACAGAGTCGTGGGCGTTATAGCTCTGCCACAGCTGCTGCTCTCGCGCTACAACAAGGTGACGGGTATAAGCCCCGCGAAGAGCGGGGGTGGGAGGAATTTCATCCCGACTTGGATATCGAGGCGAAATTCGCCGTCTTCAGTGCAGAGGAAGTGGACGGAACCGCCAAGCAACCGAATGGTGAGTCATGCAATGGGGCTAATGAGAATCGCGACGGAGACACTGCCGTCCCTGCCACTCCAAATGGCAATGAGGTCCCTCAGACGCCTCCGAAACGTCGACCTGGTCGTCCTCCGCGCCGCCCTGATTCCATGCTGAACGGTATTGGCACTCCCAACGAGCCGAAAGTCGTCCCTCCTCCTGGACCTAACCCCCGTGAGAGGCTCACTTTACCGAAGCCGAATTTCTATCCACGTGACCCTTTTGTCCGTTACGAGCAAAAAGGTGTTGGCCAACAGAACTATGTGGATCGCACCATGGCTAGTGTGGGCTATCAAGAAAGTGACATCTTCATTCGGCACGACCGCCGACTGATTCGCATGTCAGAAGGTGCGGCAGAGGAGGATCTCGATATGAGCCCCCCACCAGCCGACGGCGATACGAATGCCGCCATTGGTGGTGCGGGGGTGGGTCGAGTCGAATACGATATGGATGAGCAGGACGAAAAATGGCTAGAAGACTACAACGCGAAGAGAAGAGAGGACCAGCTGGAGCCAATCAAGCCGGCTGTCTTCGAGATCACCATGACCAAGATCGAGAAAGAGTGGTATGCGCTCGAAAAGCGCATCCCGAAACCCAACCCAAGACCTCCCCAGACGCAACGGCCTCGTTCTAGTTCCGCAGCTGCGGTGAATGGTGAGGCAATCGGCTCGGGGGAGGAGCAAGATAGCAAATGTGCAGTCTGCGACGACGGAGACTGTGAAAACTCCAATGCAATCGTTTTCTGTGACGGGTGTGATCTCGCGGTGCATCAAGAGTGCTATGGGGTACCGTATATCCCTGAAGGACAGTGGTTATGTCGAAAGTGCCAGCTTATCGGAAGGGGATCGCCAAATTGCATCTTCTGCCCGAACACGGAAGGGGCCTTCAAACAGACAAATACCTCGAAGTGGTCCCATCTTCTCTGTGCGATTTGGATTCCAGAAGTTGGCATTGGTAATCAGTCTCTGATGGAGCCTGTAACCGATGTGGAAAAGGTGCCCAAGAGTCGATGGAAGCTTCAGTGTTACATCTGCAAGCAGCGAATGGGCGCCTCTATCCAATGCAGCAACAAAAACTGCTTTGTTGCATTTCATGTCACGTGTGCAAGAAGGTCCCAGTTATACCTGAAGATGAAAACCGGCCATGGAAGTCCTGCCATCATGGATTCCCATTTATTGAAAGCGTTCTGCCACAAACATGTCCCTCCAGACTGGCGGAAGGAGCACGGCACCGATGAAGCTTACGCAGAAGCTGTCGAATATTACAAGAATACGATGCAAGGGAAGCGATGGGGGGACAGTCAGGCCGCTGCACTGTCGTTGGGGCCAGATCCGCAGGATGGCGCAGAAGCGGGCGATGAACATAGCCAGCAGGGACCCAACCTTCACCTGACTTTCAACGCTGGCGGTAATAACAAGCGGAAGCGGACGACAGCGCCGAAGACGGTCTGGAAATTGCCGTCAGGAGCGCCCGTGATCCCACAAAGCATACTGAATTCGGTTATCGCCTCCCTTCAGCGATTCACCGTCCGCCAGAGGAAACAGTATGCTGAAGATGCTTGTAAATATTGGACCCTGAAGCGAGAGGCTCGCAGAGGGGCTGCCTTGCTGAAACGGCTCCAGTTACAGTTGGAGACATTCTCTTCAATGGAAATGACGAGGAGGAATTTCGCTGCTATGGGACCGATTGGCCGTTCACGACTCCAGCGACGGATCGACTTTGCCGAGCGACTCACCTACGACGTCGACAAGGTCCGCATTCTCTGCGACGAGGTCAAGAAACGTGAGAGGGAAAAATTGAAAGATGCGGAATTACTTCGAACCATCGTGGATACTGTCTATTTTCCTATTCCCCCCTTGCTCTGGCCCATTTTCGAAAAAGTCCAGGCGTAAGTCTTCTGTTCTGGTTCCGTCTGTTGTTGAGACCCCCAACTGACTAGGGCGATTAGTCTTGATCCGAAAGGAGTGTTCCGGCCGCGTCTCCAGTTTGTGCGACAAAGATTGGAACGCCGATATTACACGTCTGTATCAACTTTCTCGGCCGACTTGGCTCATATCTTCACAACGGAAATTGGGGTGCAGCCAGCTGGCGATACGGCTGAGTTGCAGATGCAGATCAGTGGCCGGGCCCCCGAGCTCAGTCTGGAGCAGCGAGAAAAGAGGAAACTCGCTAAACGGATCATCAAGGCAATTCAGCCCGCGCTTGAAGATGCCATTCGGAAAGAGAGCGAGCTCAACGGCAGGCCATTCGAAAAGGAACTCAAAGAGCTGGATCTTATCCTGGAGAGCGGGGTTCTGTCGCGGAGGGCTTCGATGGCCGAAGGCGCAGCCGACCAGGAAGTTGGTGATCAAGATGGATCTCCTACTGGTGCAGATGAGGACAGTGGAGCTCAGAATGCGGAAATCGCCAAATCGGAGCCAAAGGATGAACTTGTGGCCCAGCCCGCCGTCGAGAAGACCGACGATACAGAGATGCCTGACGCGGGCGAAGCGGGAGAAATCCCTGTTGCGAAGCCTAACAGCGATATTAAACCTGTAGCTGCCGCTGCCGAGTCGTCGACTTCTGACGATGCAAATACCAAACCTGTGCCTGAGGAATCGAACTCCACTGCCACCAAGAAGGACAACCACAGTGTCAGTTCGGATCCTCCTGGCCAACCGAAGGAAGCTGCGCCGGCCCCGCTGACCCCTCCATTGAGCTACCAGGACGACCAGAATCTGCCACTCGCGCAGGGTGGCATCCAATGGTATATGCAACCTTTCGATCCTATTGGGACCACCATCCACGAGGAACGATGGACGGGTCGCGATGTGATGAGGGGCATGAGCGAGGAGCTCAGTGAGCTCGATGAAGATGAGCTCAAGGGCTTGGTGGACCAAGAGATGGAGGAAGGGTTGGAGAATCCGCAGAACGAGACAACATCTGCGGTTGCTGATAGCGCAGCAAATGAGCCTCAGGCCGAGAAAGCGCACCGGACACGCAGACGCTGGCGAGGGTTCAAGTAATTCCCTTTTTGCCCCCGCCGTTACAGACATTAGAGACCACCATAAGACCCCTTTCTAGCCAGGTTGGAGATGCTTTTTCGGGAACAGGGTGTTGGAACAGGCGTCGAGTGTAACCACGTTTGCCATCGCAGTGTCTGTTTACTAGGCGTATCATGGATCGAGATACCAATGATAATGATGATCTGTAGACTGTCTGTTATCTTGTAGTGCCGAATATCCACTTTTTTTCCTCTTAGATCGCATGCAGAACTGCCCGTATTGCGCAGGTCAGAGGATCTGAGATCTGGTCGGAGCCTGTGGCCTGCCGTGGGACGCTGTCGAAGCGATCGCGTTGAGCCAATGGCCCGGGCAGCAGCTGGTGAAGGACCGGTCTTGGCGCCACCTTGCATCAATCACTGAGCCAGCAGAGCCGCTCCGGTCAGGATCGCCCCAGTGAGGCGGCGCCTGCAGTCTGCAGCCAAACCTCCAGCCCTGACCTGGACAAAAAAGCCTGCCTGTGGCCCTGTCTTACCTGCGTAAGCTCTCTTTCACTCCTGTCTCCCTCCTCCACCTGCTTTCCCCCAGCAGAAAGCCCTGTCGTCTTGTCTGATTAGTTTGGGCTTGGTTCGCAGAGTCGGCTCCATTCTTCACCGCGTTAGGGCCACCAAACCACCCCTTCACCCTTGTTTGGTGCCACAGGCCCCCGTTCTTGTTCATCTGCCTAACACGCTTTCAAATAATAATCTTTCTCTCTCTCTCCGCCTCGACTCTCACGCTCCATCGCTCAGGCCAACTCCAGCCCAGCACGCCCACCATGGAGTACGAAAACGAGAATGGGCGCTATGACGGTAGGTCTTACTCATGTTGGTAACAGCTGTGTTGGCTAAGCCTCGTGTCCTTGATAGACGACCGCCGTTATGAACGCGACCGCAGTGCGTCTCCCCGTGGAGATTCGCGCGCAGAACGCACCCGCAGCCTCTCACCGAACGGCCGTGCTGACGACAGGTAATGATGCCCTTTTTGCCCAGGCGAGATGACCCCTCATGTGAAGAGCTAGCGAGCTAACTAGTAGCATGGTTCAGAGCTCCACCCAGTGACAGCCGCCCCAAGGACGACGATGATGGAGCCGTCAACACTGGATCGAACCTGTTCGTGACCGGCATCCATCCTCGCCTGACTGAGGCGGACCTTTCGCGTTTGTTCGAGAAATATGGCGACGTGGAGAGCTGCTCGATCATGGTCGACCCGCACACTAAGGAGTCTCGCGGATTTGGGTTCGTGAAGATGACGACTCCCGAGCAGGCTGATGCCGCCAAGGAGGGTCTGCAGGGCGAGGTCATCGAGGGACGCACGCTGAGCATCGAAAAGGCTCGTCGCAGCCGTCCCCGAACCCCTACTCCAGGCAAATATTTCGGTCCTCCAAAACGTGGTGAGCATCCTTGCTGTCCCCGGCGACGAAATTCTGACGCGGATGATACTAGGCTACCGTGGACCCCCGCGTGGCCATGATCGCTATGATGACCGACGTGGCTACGGCGGTTCCCGTCGCTACGATGATTATCGCTATGGCCGCTACGATTCTTACGATCGCCGGAGTGACTACGGACGGGGCTATGGTCGCGACTATGGCCGTGACTATTATAGCCGTCGCGACTACCGCGATGACTATAGCTACCGTGGCGTCGACCGCTATTCGGGTCGTGAGGATCGGTACGGCCGTGGAGATGACCGTCGTGACGAGCGAGACGATCGCCGCAGCTATTACGACCGTGATGCAAACCCTCCGAGTTACGACCAGGCTCGCGATTCCCGCGATGCGTATGCTTCTCGCTCCTACGAGGGCCGCGGTGATGAGAGATACGGCGGAAGGTAGGTGAGATCCTTGGATCTCGAATTACTGTCAACTATGCCAGTTCGCCAGTAGTTCGGAGTCTAGACCGGTGGGAATTTCTTCGCAACTGGTCATCCATTCCCTTTTCCTCGTCCTCCATTTCGATTCCTCTCTTGTATTTCTCGGTATGTTCTTGAGATTTCCGTGCTGGTTCAGAGCGCAACGGGTTACGGCAGCACGTGCTATGTTTCTTCCGCTTTCTTCTCTTTGTTTCTTTGTTTCTGTTCTTCCTTTGCGAGCGCGGGGACAAAAAAAAAGGAAAATCGGCTATGCCACGTCTACATGTGTTTTTTTCGGCAGAATCGGAAAGACCGCCAGTCTCACGATCGACATGGGCCAACTGTACACAATCTCTGTCGTCGCTTTTCGATCCGCGGATGGTGTTTCTTTTTTCTTTTTTGCTTCTTCGCTCAAGGTTGCGGCATATTTGGCGGCGGAAAAAAAAAAGGCAACTTTTTACTTTTACTGCGTTGTAATATCTCCGGTGGTCATCATATGGTCAGCACTGTTACGTTGCAACCTTCCGGAAGTGATCCTAGTCACTAGTCAGCTATTTCGCCGTATTCTCGTCTATCCAGCTTCACGTAACGACTCGATCAGTTTCGGCTCAGCAGAGACACACAAAATCCGTTTTCCCCTTCAAACAAAAAACTTAATACTTCAGAGAACTGATACGCCATCGCCCTGCGCCATGGAGTTCGGTCTATTCCGCTTGATTCGCTTGTAGTACCGCCGATATCTTTACCGTGCATGAGCCATAGATGATGATCTTGTGACGAATCCGCGGAATCTTGTAATTGCTCGCACTTGCAAATTACTACCTATCCGTCCGGAGCTTTGATTCTTTGTTGTACTCGATTTAATAATCCGGACGGACGGTTTGTATATGCTACATTCTGAATGCGCGGGTTGAGTTCCAGCACGGTAAGTCCTTGATCCTAAAATAGACTGACAAAGCAGCTCAAGAATGTTTATATGCGAGTGAGCTCTTTGATTGACTGCTCGCCCGTCCTGCGCAACTCAATCAATCAATCCATCTCTCTACACCGGCAATATGGCTATTCACGAATGTTCTTCGACACAGTTGTGCCCTGCGCATATCCATCCGCAAGTGTTGGCAGATGACCGAAAATCTCGTTTCTTTCTCAAAGACCAACGCCACCACGACTATTGTCAGAGCAGGCAAGCAAATGCGGATGCAGACAACTCTCTTCTTTCGCATCATTTGAACTATGCAAAGCATCTGTAAGTGTTCCACCAGTTCCTGTTCATATGTCTGTCCGAAAGAGAAGAAAAAGAAACAGAAAAAAAAATAGAAAAGAAATAAAAAAAAAGAAAAGAAAAGACAAAAAAAGAAGAAGGAGAAGAAGAAGAAGAATAGAAGAGAAAGAAATAAAAATAAATAATAAAAATATGCATATTTCTTCCAAACACCATCTCCTTTCAACGATGGCAATCGATGAAGTCAGTAGACAGTAGACACTAGACATAAATAAAACAAACCTTCGAGACAGGGCTTCGTCCTTCTCTACAGTACAGCCTTGTTTGTTACCTAGGAGCATATTATCTAGTTGTAGCTGTAAACACAACGATCTAACTGCTTTCAATCAATATAATACAAACAGACAGGGCTTCTCTTCTTCAAGAATTTCTTCTTGAGCGAGTAAGCCGATTAATGAACAGAAATAGAGACCGAAAACCCGTGATGTATTATTTTTTTCCCCTCCCAATAAATAACATCATCATTAGCATCGTTATTAGGCATTTATCTTCTTCTTTGTATGCATGCGTTTTTCCCTTCCCTTTCCTTTTCCTTCGTAGTGATACAACAGACACACACCAGGTATCTACTCCAATATTAATCGGACACTTTGGTGCTGGTGCTGGTACTGGTCGCGCCACTTTCGACCTCGTTGCTCTTCTGGATGAGGAATTCGCCCAGGACGCGGAGGGGGTTGGGAGGTCTGTATGTAATATACGAGTTAGAACTTGCGACTAAAAAACTGTCGTGGGAGATGGGATGGGATTCCACATACTGGTCTCTCGTCACAGCCTTCATGCCTTCTAGGAGATAAGGCACGATCTTCTCGTTCATGTAGACTCGCGCCGGAGCGCCTCCTGCTCGGACCTGCGATTGAAAATGCGACTGCGACGAGGATGGAGGCGGATTCGTCGCGCTGCCCATCACGGTTGTGTTTGTTGCAGAATCCGTTGTCCCGCTGGGAGTCGTGCCATTGTTGTTGTGTTGTTGGTGCTTGTCGTCAGAGTTGTTGCCGCCCGGAGTCGTGCTTGAGCTCATCACGTAGGAAGAAGAGGAAGAGGAGGTCGCGAGGACAGAGGATGAGGAGGGTTCTTGCGGAGGTGGCGGTCCTGACGCGGAGGGGTTCGAGTTGTAGCGCGAATCTGCAAGTCGAGGCGAAGCGGATGGTGGCTGTTGCTGCTGTTGCTGCTGTTGCAATTAATTAGTGGAGTTTTGCAAACGCTTCACGTTAGAAGCAAGTACTTTATTTATTAAAGAAAAAAAGGCCTTAAGCTAACGCGAATGGATATGATTGAGCAGAAAGAAAGGGTGGCAAGAAAATAAATAGAATTCGACTGTTCAGTATGTCTAGAAGATAACGGACAAACGATAGGTGCTTTTTAATTAACGGATGGATTGATATCAGCGCAACAACTATGCATTGAACAGAGAAGGAGGGGTATGAATGGAATGCTTCTTGCGTACAGTAATATCGGCGATGACGACTTGGCGAGCCTGAGAGCTGCTGGCCTGCGGAGCTTCTTGCGGGAGCTCTCCATCTCCACCGCCGCGGCGCGAGTGGGGATCGTCGCAGGCGATTGGATGCGCGGACATATTCTTGAAAGGCAGAACTTGTCGAGGCAAATCAAAGCTTGTCCACTTTTCTGAGATGAGGATGATTGAGTCTAATCTCCCATAATGGGATTCTTAATTAATGATGGGGGCTCATGTGCAATCCCAGCTGCCTGGGTGGGAGTTCAGCCTTACTGTATGGTATATGCTTATGTAACAATCTAGTCATCTGCCTTAGGTCCTTTACGGTAAGATACCCTAGTAAAATTACCAGTTACTATTAGTGATATATCACCACCCCAATCCCACGCCCTCTGTGAGAGGTTCGATTTGACGTAAAAGCTGGTTCTGCAGTGTCGCAGAACAATTGGAATCTCTTTTCATCATGGACTGGGATACCCTGTGTTTCAATGCCGCGACCTTTGTCGCTGGAGTATTTGTGCTTGATTACGGTGCCGACAAATTCATTGATCATACAGTCATCGTGGGCCGGTGTTTAGGCATCTCCCAAACACTAATTGCATTGTTGACAGCTGGTGCGGAATATGAAGAGGTATGTCGATGATCTCCAATTGAACCTTGACGTCTCCTGACCGCGTGGCAGCTCGCGGTGGTAATTGCTGCCGTGCTTCAGCACCGAGCTCCCCTTGCTCTGGGCAATGTGATAGGATCGACCATCTCCAACATCCTCGGTGCTTTCTCCCTAGGCCTCCTGTTTCACTCTGGCCGTATTGATTATGACCAGAGCGCAAAGTTCTATACTGCTTTGCTCTTTCTCGTCACTACGGCTTTCGTTGGCCTTGCATACTTCGGGCTACTGAACAGACTAGTCGGTGGCGTGCTAGTGGCTGTCTTCGTGCTCTATATAGTCTCAATAGCTTATGCCATCTATAGAGGAGTCGCTACGCCTCCAGAGGTGTCGGATTCCGACAGCGATGACGACTCCAGTAGTGATGAAGAGGGACCATCAAGAGGAGCCGGCGATTCTGAACAAGGACCACTCGCCGCATCAGAGACTTCTCCCCTTCTGACAGACAGAGGGACCACTCTTCCGACTGCTGTTGACCGCGAGAAACGCGCTCCTCGCTTCCTCATCTATCATATCTGTCAACTCGTCATCGGACTGCTATCGCTCTCGATTTCCGGCTATATTCTATCTCACAGCGCAGCTGCAATCGCCGACGCTCTTCATCTCTCGGGGACAGTCATCGGTCTTACAGTGGTGTCCTTTGCCACCACCTTGCCGGAAAAACTGGTCGCAGTTCTGGGCGGCTCTCGTGGGCACAGTGGGATTGTGCTAGCCAGCACGGCAGGAAGCAACATCTTCCTCCTCACGCTGTGTGTTGGCATTATTTCTCTTTCTGGAATACCGGAGAATCACACCGACAGTCTTGTACTGTTTGAACTGGCTATTACCTGGCTGTCATCTGCAATGCTCTGCTTGGTCGTCTTCCTAGGTCTGGGCCGTGTGGCTGGGATCGCAATGATAGCAGTGTATGTGGTGTTTTTGGCTCTTGAATTCACTGTATATAGAAGATAAATACTGTACTGTATATTAATACATACTGCTTTTTCATCTATTTGGAAAGGCAATATCCTAGCGCTCGTCTGCAGTGTTGTCCAGCTCCCATCCTTCTATATGGTTATAACTTATAGGAAGTGGTATCATTGGCAGACGGCCAAGACCTCAGCCTGTCAGCCTTCGCATTTTTCACGCAGAACAGCTGATCTTGTGAGAGCTGAATTGGGTACCAGGGACATGTCTGGTGCGATTTTTGGGATACAAAGTGATGACAATGCCAGCCTATTTGGGATTTTAATCATCACTAGTTCTTGACTGAAAACTTCGGGGCCACCTCATTCCCTTGTCAACATACTCTTCTGTTACTGATTGGAAGAAGAAATATAATTCATGAATGTCTGTATAACGTAATCAATCACCGAGCGAAACAGATCACCGAGCGAAACACCCACCAACGCCATTATTATTAGATATCTAATTATCTCACCACACCACCCCTAAATTGAAGCTATTTACATGTAAAATAATTGCCTATTTACTAGGGCAGCTGACCCTAGTATGACCTTGAATATTGCAGTTGCTGCACCGCGGTGGTGCACGTCTTCTAGGCTGCATATCAGCTTGGTCAGCTACCTCTGCCTGCAATTCTGCAGCTTACTGAGCAAGCTGCTGGCCTTCTTCAGCAGTTAAAATCCCCCCGGTAGCAATATAGGATCTAGCTGTCTCTTGCTTG